AATATCATAGTTGGATCACCATTTTTGGGGCAGTGCTGAATAAAATGCCCTGCATCACAAATTCCCATAATAAGAACTCGACCCAAGGCTTTGTTTCTGTCCTAGTTGATCCTGATTCGACATTAGAAGTATATTGATTTTTCACCAATAACCGAGTCATTTTGTCAGTAACTACTGCATATTTGATTTCATTCATAAATCTATTTTTTCCTTATGAGAAAAAGTCTCAATAAGAATGCTAGTTCTTAATGTTCATATATTATCATATAATAGAATATAATCATATAATAGAATATACAACAACAATTCGTTATGTATAGAGGATGAGATTCCATTGATACAGAACCAATTCCATTTTAAAATCCCTGATGTGTCGTTCAGTTTTGCTGAAAAGTATAATCTCTAGGGAAAAAAAAATCTAAGAAGCAATGACACAATCACAAACACGTAATATGGGTATGATATGACATAAATACAGTTACACACTAATTTTTAAAAAATTAGGACACAAGCATAGAAGGACATGACAATAAAAAAAAATTTTTATGTAAAAATATTTAATACAAATGTAAAAATTTTTAAATGATAATTAGTAATTACATATTTATAATTTAATAATAAAAAATGGTCTTCAAAATTTGGAACTTAAAACTGTAACAATTAAAACCAAATGAAATAAATGGGCCGCCTAAAAGTCTTGTAAAGTCTGTAGACCCAAACCCAATTTATTAATTACACAAAGCGCCCTTCTTCTTCATCCTCGTTTCTCTTTTCAAATCCAACATTTCCTTTGTCGAAAATGACGACAGCCCAACTACACCCAGGTCAGTTTTAGTTCTCTGCCCTTCCTTTTCTTCTATTATTCCTCTTGCTCGCCGGTACTCAAGGGAGATGAGGACTGCGGCAACTTGAATGCTATTGTAATTTTTGCCGTGTCTTAACCATGTCTGACTGTATTCAATCTGATTTTTCTTTTTTGGCCATGTCCCGTACTGCTATGAAACCGGCATGCCGGGTGTTCCGCGGCGTCCGTGCTTCACAGAACAAAGTATTATCAACATACAAAGCACCTTACAACGGTGACAAACACAACCCTGAGGAGGTGTTTTGTGCTTCAACCCTAATCGACCTTGATGAGAAAAACATAAACTTCAGCTTCATATACAATTTCAGAAGTACAATTACAGAAATGAAATGTCCCATAAAATTTCATAGCCCACCGATTTCAAATGAGCATAAATGGCCATCACTCTTTCAAGTACACACACATTTACACAAAAAGTAATTACATGTCATGGCAACAAAAACAGTGACAGTTCAAACTTAAATAAATTTATATCAGCTTAGACGACTGACAAGCTCACACTTAGTGATGCAACCATGGACAAGAACAGCACACTCACATGCACACATCTACAGGCACAAACTAACAAAGAAATCACAGTACTAACATCACATGCAAAAAATAACAGAGGCACATTTATACTGAAATAATAAGCAACAGAAAAATATCAAACTTCAATTATCTAGAGATTTAGCATTAAAAGATCATATACACAGACTCGAAAACACACCCACCAAGACAGCCTACCATGATAAATGATGCAATAAAAACGAAAAAGGGCATAAGAGAATCACCAAAACTATGCCCGCCCGTCCTTCCACCCATACCCCTTCCAAAGCCTCTACGAGTTCCAAAACCTTCTGCACCTTGGCTGCAAGTCCAAAATAATTAAAAGGCATTACGAATGAAAGTTGCATCAATAAGACACAAAAATATAAAAGAAAATGCAGGCGTCTAACCGCTGCCAGTCCAATGCAGGGGCATCAATTAAAGCCTTAATCTTGCTGTCCTCATCAGCTTTATTAGCAGGGGGAGCATCAGGTAGTGGATTGCTTGACTGCACTGACAGCATTTCAGGCATTGAATATAAATCATTCCCAAATTCATCCCATTCGAAGTCTTCTGGCTACAAGTAAAAATCAAGCTTAATATTAGGTTTCTATTGCTTTCTCTTTGCTGACAAATACAAACATTCCTCAAATGCTAAAACAGCCGACACTAGTAGCACGAAGACAAACCAAATTTCAACAGGGAAAATATGTCAAGAACAAAGCTTACATATTTCGGAACAGATGAATCAGCATCCAAGAAGTTAGTCTTTTCTGGTTGAGCATTTTCAATCTGATTTTCAACCTTGGGCCTGTGAAGCATAACAAAGTCCAAACTCAAACCTAGAATCAAATTTCCTCTCATACTAGTAAGCAGGCCACCAAATCAGAGCTGATTTAAACACACAAGTGATCAAGTTCGTGCAGTTAACTGAACCTTTCTTACATGCTTTTATAACAAGTTCACTAATATTAAAATATTTGAGTGGTTAGGCATCTAAGGATTGGTAAGTACTCTTGAGCAGCAACAATGGGCATGCGAGGCCTTCAAGGAACCCGGCGAATTAATACAGAAGTATTTTTCGGGATTAACATTGCTTCATCAAGATATTCTGAAATTGAAAAGAGAGAACAAGTCTATAAAACACTGCAAACAGAATAACCCATGAACAACAAACAAAAGTACAATCTTTATATCCAGTCAGGAAAAAAGTGGGCTAATATAGTGCTCAATGAGAATTTCAACAGAAAGGTAGATTTGGCCATACTCCCAACTGACATTTATTGCGGATATGATTAAAAATCATAATCCCCACTCTGAAACAAACCATTCCGTCTGTTGACTTGGTCAGTATCTGAGTATCCAAGATATTTTAAAGATGAACCAACTCTACACACTCAAAGTACTCTCAACAAATTAGTTAAAGAGCGAAGACCAACCTTCATTAGTTTGGGCATTAATGACAACAAGGTCGAAGTCGGTACCCCTGCCCAAGTGCTTTGATTCAAATATTTTTTCTTGCAAAGTACCAACGCTTATAAACGGGCCATCCATGGCAATTGAATCAAAATCTTGCCTCTTAAACTTGTAATAAACAGCCATTTTTCTTCTTAATAAAAATAATAATAAACAAGAAAATAATTAATATTGCAATGAAATTATATATTGGCCATAAAAAATTAGGCCTTATGTTCACTCAAAAATGAAAATCAAATATGAACGGTACAAAAAATTTGTTCTTTTTTTTTTTTTCTTATTCTGAAGGAAACCGAACCAAGCTCATCGCCGATGCAAAATCCGAAGCTCTCTTCCAGAAATCAACTCTGAAAATTTCTCCACGATTTATTCAAAAAACCGCCAAAGTTTTGGAATTGTCAGCGAAACCAGAAGTTTCGAATTAGATTAGGGCGAATCGAAGCGAATTATGAAAAAGCCCCTTGGTCATAGATCTTGATCAAATTCACACGAACTCTTCGATTATTTTATTAGAAAACAGGCTCCGAATTAATTAATTCTCCACCGATCCAGATCTTCTAAGACTCGAACCAAAAATAAATCTTCGGAAAGGCATCCCACAACCGATCCATCCGCAAGGAAAAACTCGGCAACTTCGAAGGTCGAGATTCTGATACGCCGAAATTGTAAAAGATTATTAAAAGATTGGAGAATCGCTAGAGATTGGATAGCCTTCGTGAATCGCTAGGGCTAGGGCTTGATGAGAGGGTTTCATAAAGAGAGGGAAATTGACATTAGGGAAGAGACGAAAACCAGGCTATTTTATATAGGATAAGCTCCTTATGGAGCGCTTTTCATAACCGCCAGACCGGCAAAGTCGGTTTCCACTGACCTTTAAAAATCTGTTTTATGTACTTTATTCACACCGAAACAGTACATGATAGTATTATGATATATAACAATAAAATAATATGAATTTTTAACTAATAAAAAGTGTTATAAAAGTTCCGCTTATCTTTGTCGAAGTGGGCCCATCTCAAATACCCAAAAGAATGGGCCGATCGGATTTTGTCGGAGGATTTAGCGGGATTGGGTTGTTTCTGGGTGGGCTTTTAGTCATTTTCTATTCTGGATGCTGTCGACATTTGAGAGTGTAATGACATGGCGTTGTCTTATTGGTTAAAAACAATAAAAAAAGCATTAATACGTTAATGTGCTGGCCAATAGAATATAAATTATCTTTGTTGATTAATTATGTTCCATTTTTTATGCAATGGAAAGTTGAAAACATTAAATCGGTAGTAGCGATGACGACAGATCAGATCGAAGTAAGTTTTTTTTCGTTTAAATTTGATTTAATTATATATATAAAATTTAAATTAGATATGATTTGATGATTTTTTTATTTTTTTATGTTTAAATTTTATTTGATTTAATATTATATAAAATAATATTTAATTTAATTTAATCTGAAATTAATAAAATATTATTTTTAAAAAATAAATATAAAATTAAATAATTAATTAAAAAATATTTTTTTAATTATATCTTATTGGATAGGATTAGATTTGTCAAAATTCAATCTCGATCTAATCTTTATTTTTTTTATATATTACTCGATCCGGCTCGATTGATTACATAATATTTTTTTTAAAAAATCAACTTTAAAAAATTAGATCAAATTGAAATTTATCAAATTCGAATTATATTACATTTCTCATAAGCAGGAATTGGATTAATTCATTCATTTTGGATCAACTTATTTTTATATTAAAAAGTTGATTGAATAGTTTTAAATTGAATTATTTTAATTCTAAATTTAAATTTTTAAAATTTTAAAATTAAATTAATTTAAATTATTTTTTAATTCTTAAATTCAAATCTTTCGAACACAATCTAGCTTTGCTAACTCTATTAATGAATAAATATCCATTTTGAGACACAACAAATATATTATCATTTCGAGAATTAATAAAAATCTTTTTTAATATCTAAGAAACTAGAAATAAAAATTAATTTTATTGGGTTAAATAAATAAATAAAAAAAAGGGGACAGACAGTTAAGAAAAGTCAGACAACTATATATAAAGTTAGACAACTATATATTAAGTTTACCAAGACCGTTACCGTCTTCCCCGCTGTTTCCCACCATTCAAACCTTTCCTCTCCGTTTCTCTGTCTTTTTCTCTCATTTCTTTCTCTTACAAACTCTTTTTTCCATTTTTTTTGCTCCTTTTTGTTCACTCCTCATCGGTCATCGGATCCCTTCAATTCCCAGAATCTTTTTTTCTCTCACTTCATTCAGGTAATAATCTCAATCTTTCGTTGTTCTTAACTTCTCTTTCTTTCTATCTTTCTTTCCAGTTTAAGATCTCACGTTAAGACATAAAATTCCAGCTAAGTTATTATAAACTATGAAAACAATTTTATGGGAAGGGCAGGACAGGACAGGACAGCAAACCCTGTCTTGTGTTTACTTCATTCTAAATAATTCCTTGTTAGCTTTGTTGGTTTCACAGTAATTTGCCAGACTGATGCCATGCCATGCCACGTTATGTTATGCTGTAGATCTTATCACAATTGGAATTTATGCTTTCCTCTTGTATTTGTTGTTTATCTATTTGGTTATGATAAATACACGAATTTCTTGGTTGTGAACTTCATAGAGTTGCTTTGATGTCGGAAGTTGGTGGTTATCCTTAAAATTTGCTCTGCGGCATTTGCCCATTACCTTGATTTAAAACTATGGTATACTTATCAAAAATAATAAAAAATGGTATATTTGAATTTAAAGCAGTGAAGATTCAATGGATTTCATGAATTTAAGTTGAGATCATAATATTTAAACCCAATTTGAAGTCCCAAAAACCCTCCATTCAAAATCAATTATGGTATCTTAAGTGGGCCTTAAGTTCAATTATGGTACAGACACCTATTTTTCATCTGTTTTCTAGGAACTATTTGTGGTTATAACATCTGTCTCTTATTGTATAAGAACTGGTGAAGATAATTTTGATTGATACTTTGCGTAGATGAGGTTGGGGGATGGAAGGTACCTGATGAAACAGGAACCAAGTCCAACCTTGTCAAGCACTTAGGAATGGCTTGACATCTTCATGTAGAATGAGATGAGGAAACTATTGGAACATGTTGCTGTAGCCCTGATTAGGGAAGCAATCCGGCACTGCACATGGCGGAAAGTTCATTGGAGAAAGTTGTTGTTTGCTGGAGCAGTTATGTCAATAGCTGGTGTAGTACTTCCAACCATTTTGTTTACTTACCACTGGAACATCCTCTTCCTCCCTTCTCTTATTAATGATTCATCACACCAATCTTTGAATGGTTCCATGCGTTTGAGCAAGAACATGACTGAGGCAAGGTTGGAAAAACTTCAACTTTTTCCAACTGCTCCCTTTGTTTCACTGAATTCATCAATTGAAGCTAAAGAAAGGCCTAGAGTTTACCGTAGGAGGAGAAAGAGAAGGAGGAAGAGTAAAATAGATGATGGACCAAAGGTTGTGCCTCCTCCTCCTCGTAGACCAGCACCCCCTCGCTTACAGGTAGAGATATAAGAGTTATTTTCCTTTTAAATGAGAAGTATGACAAAGAACTGATATTTATAATCTAACTAGTGCTTCACCTCTGATTCAGAGATACCTTCGGTCTTTGTCGCCTGATGAGGCTCTTATATACGCTAAAACGGAAATTGAGCATGCACCATTAGTCGATAACGATGATGATTCTTATCTGCATGCTCCAGTATTTCGAAATGTTTCTATTTTTCAAAGGTAAAATCACTTCATTTTTTCAAACTGAGTTCTTTGTGTGATTTTTGCAATGTTTTCGGTAATTAAATATTGAAAAGTGGGTTGTTGCCTGAAACTTTTAGGAGCTACGAGTTGATGGAAATGATACTTAAAGTCTACATTTACCCTGATGGAGAGAGGCCCATTTTTCATGAACCTCATCTAAATGGTATTTATGCTTCAGAAGGATGGTTTATGAAGTTATTGGAGGCAAACAGGGAGTTTGTTACAAAAGACCCGGAGAAGGCTCATTTGTTTTATCTGCCATATAGTTCACGCCAGCTGGAGCTGGCACTTTATGTGCCAAACTCACATAATCTGAGACCACTTTCAATCTTCCTAAGGGATTATGTGAATATGATTGCCTCGAAGTATCCTTTCTGGAACCGCACACATGGATCAGATCATTTTCTTGTGGCATGCCATGATTGGGTATGGTTGTCTATTTTCTTCTTAAATCACAGAAAAAAAATGTGCCATTTTGATTTGACTTCATTCTTACATGTTTTTAAGCCAGTAGAGTCATTTTTTCTGGTTACTGATGCCATATTTTATCACCTAAATTTCCTCTAATCTATCCCTTTGCAGGGTCCTTACATAACCACTGCACACAAGGAACTAAGAAATAACAGCATAAAAGCTTTATGCAATGCTGACCTATCCGAGAATTTCATTGCTGGAAAGGATGTTTCTTTACCAGAAACCGCCATAAGAAATGTTGGTAGACCTCTTAGATATATAGGTGGTGGGAACAGGGTTTCACAACGCCCGATCCTTGCCTTCTTTGCTGGAAACATGCATGGCAGGGTCCGTCCCAAGCTTCTCAAGTATTGGCACAACAAGAATGAAGACATGAAAATCTATGGTCCTTTACCAATTCGAGTTTCTAGAAATATGACTTACATTCAGCACATGAAATCAAGTAAATATTGTATATGCCCTATGGGGTATGAAGTGAACAGCCCTAGGATTGTTGAGGCTATATATTATGAGTGTGTGCCGGTAATTATTGCAGATAACTTTGTGCTACCTTTTAATGAAGTCCTAGATTGGAATGCATTTTCTGTGACTGTGGCCGAAAAGGATATTCCAAAACTGAAGGAGATTCTCTTGGCTATTCCATTGAGAAGGTACCTTAAAATTCTAATGCATGTGAAGATGGTGCAGAAGCATTTTCTTTGGAATCCGAGACCAATGAGATACGATCTGTTCCATATGATACTCCATTCCATATGGTATAACAGGCTGAACCAGATCCAGATTTCTCAGCCCTAGCCTGTTTCTCAATAGGGAACATTTTGTTAAGAAGATGGACAGCTCAAAAGGGCCAAAACTCGTAACCAGGCAAGCATCAGTTGACAGAATTCGGAGGCTTAGCTGTTGATCGGACAAAGATTGCAACAGAGTTTTTATTGCCTCGTGATCTGTTCCCATGTTCAGAAATAAGTGTTTGGGGTCGGAAAGGGGGATGAAAAACGAATGAACTGCTTATGCCAGAATGAAAATTCTTAATACAGATGTATACTTAATCATTAATTTGAATTCTTTGTTACATAAATGTTCTAGTTCATGGATTATGACCTTTAGCTTCAACTGTGGCATTGACTAGAGTGATTTAAACAGAGTGCAACTTCTGTATTTCCCTATATGTTTCACCCTGATTGTACGTCATTGACTTGGACTGAAATATTATACATGCTTTTTCAAATGATGTCAATTTGCTTCCAGATGGATGATGCCCATTAATTCCAAGTCTTTTCTTAATGCTAATAATCCCTCTTTTAATTAATGTAAAAGATTTGGTGATCAGCATATTATCTGCTCTTAGTTGTACCTCCCATCACATTAACTTCACCAATTTTTTGTTCAAAATTTCAACTTGACACCAAGGCTTGTACACTCTTGATTCCCAGGGGCAAATGTTCTTCAATGAAAAGCAAGGCCCCTACTAAAAGGATGGCTACCCATTCAACAAACAGTTGGCTAGAGTCTAGAATAATGCAGCAAGTTAGAGCAATTTTGATTCAAACATCTCTTTATTTATTTATTTTTTTCAGAGGAAACGTGCTTATTACAACCTTGTTATACAATTGCTATGGATCCTAATGATCAAGTTCAAGAAACTTATTCACCCACTCCAAACCAAAGCAACCTTGAGTCGAGAAGTCGAAGAACTCGTTTACATCAAAGCTATGTTCAAAGTTGTCATCATTTCCTTTCACTACCTCTTCTTCCATCTGGACTGTGTCCCAAGTTTTCTGGGGCATAGTTTGTTCTGAAGTTGAAGTTTCTTCTGTTCTCTCCTTCTGCTTTATTGTCTTGCTCAAATGTGAATTCCAGTAGTTCTTAATTTCATTGTCTGTTCGCCCTGGAAGTCTCCCAGCAATCAAAGACCACCTGTACCAAGTAGCAACATTTAATTGAATTGCATCAATGCTTATCATTTTCTTTTATTACTATATGATGACACAAACCTGTTCCCTAGCAGCTTGTGAAGCCTAAGAATTAAATCCTCTTCCTCATCTGATATGTTGCCTCTCTTGATGTTAGGTCTCAAGTAGTTCAACCATCTCAATCTGCAACTCTTGCCGCATCGATTCAAACCTATACATGGAAACAATGCAACCTGTCAATTCCAATGCTCCAAAAATGTAGTTTCTCTGTGCTAAAAGAAACTACAAGCAGCGGAGCTGTTATAGAACACAATTAACCTGCTTTAATTGCGATTGCTTTCCATCTCTTTGCACCATGAATCTCAATATATTCAGCCAATTTTCTATCTTCCTCAGCTGTCCAAGCTCCTTTGTTCATAAACCTTTTACTCACTCCATCCTTCTTAGGAGCCATCTGCTACAATGAGAAGAGGCAGACAGAATAGAAACTGCCAGATTTTAGCAAGAGTAATATCGATTGCTCAAAACAAGGAGCAAAGTCACAAATATAAAACATGGAGTGTTTGGCGTTAGTGCAATAGAGGATTGAACGGTCAGTGAGTGAGTCCACGCATCTACCCTTCCTGGGCAACTACCAGTTCTATTTAGACTTGATGTTACAATGGCAAGCGAACCCTCTATTTCTAGAAACTACTTTGCCATTTTTGCTGATTCATGGCCTCGAACGAAAGGAAAAAAAAACACTAAAATAAGTTGATTTTATTATTTACAAAGCTTAACACATTGACTTGGTCAGCTGATCATGCTTTTCAGATTCCATGCTCAGATAATGAATATTTACTTTGATAAAATTAATGTAACCCTTTTTTTTTTTTTTTTATGTCTTGTTTCTTCGTTTATAGAATGAAGCTTTTAATGTAACCTTTTAATTCGTAACCCGACGCATAAAAAACAAATTTATATTTAATATATTATCGGTTTATAAATATTATATATTATCAATGATTAATAATTTTAAAAATTAAAAAATCTTTTAATTTTATATGTTATTATATTTAATTTTAAATTTTTTAAAAATTTAATTTTATTCGTTGCTATAGTCTCCTAAAACTAACGCAACAAGCTAAAATAAGTTTCACAAAAAACATATTCCTTTCGTTTTTAAATCTTTTGGGCCCTAATTCCAAATGCAAGCACGGCCCAATAATCGAATTTATTGAGCCGAACATTTAGTGGCCGGATCTTCAACATTATTGGGCCGGAAACAAAAGCCATGTCCAAATCAATTTACTTGTAAATTTTTCAATAAATTTTTTGGTAAAAAAATAAAGAATTGTTTTTATATAAAACCATTTTTGAAGTCAATTGTTTTTTAAAAAATTGAATATTATGATTTTTGTTAAACAAAAAAATGATAATTAACATACTCTTAAAGGAAAAAAAATTTTTTGCTAAACAAAAAAGAACATAAAATAATTCAATTATCAAGAGTTTGTAAATGTTTTCCTTTGTAAAAAGGAAAAAAAAAATAATAAAATTTAGGCTTTGTTTGGTTTAATAAAATATTTTTATTTTTATTTTTTATTTCAATTTTTATAAAATAATTTTTATTTTCTATTTTTTTCTAAAAACTATATTTGGTAAACAAAAATAAAATTTATTTTCTAAAAATGAAAAATAAGAAAATAAATAAAATATTCAATAATATTACTATTAATGGCATCTAATTATAAATATAATATATATTTATTAATTAATGACATTAAAAAGTATTTAAATTGGTAACTTGTAAAACATAAAAAAATATATATAAATCCCTTATTTTCATAATTAAAAATATCTTTTTTATTTTTATATTTTTAATTCATTTTTATTTTTATTTTCTAAATATTTATTTTCATTTTCAACTATCAAACACATTTTTATTCATATTTTTTTATTTTTTTTATAAAAATAATTTTATTTTTTAGAATCAAACGCTACCTTTAGTCCTCTTCTCCAAATTCTTTTGTAAGCTTGATTGTATTCCTAAAAGTGGTTGTGAAATAGTTTTCATGCTTTTTCTAAACAATGAACCCAAAAGAGACCTGTATGGCATAGTACATATGAAAAAGTAAGAAAATGATGGGTTGTGGGGTCTTAGCTACAGATGAGCATAGAACACAAAGTAATAATAAAAAAAAAATCTCTCTTATCCAAAATAGGAATTTTCTAATGGAGAAACAAGACCCAGTCACAAGTCAATTTTACCCTAATTAATTATTTCCTTTACCCCCATTTATTACTTTACTTTTGTTCCAATGTTATTCAATTTAGCACCTAAATATTCTTTTATTTTAAAAGTTGAATAATTAATATGGTCATTTTGCACCAAATAAATAGAATATATATGTATATATAGATATACTAGTACTAATTTGCCTTGTTCCAAGGAAACAAGCTGATCTCCATTAAATTTAGTGAAAAAATTTTACTTGAAAAGCATAAACAAAGGGATAAGGTGAATTTTATTAAAAACAAGGGATAAAAAATCCATTGTTACAATGTCAATCAAAATATCTAATTGAACAAATCCTAAAAAATAGGGTCCAGTACAATGCAGTGAAAAACAGGTGAACATCCAGAATTCTTAAAGTAACATTTTGACAAACATATGAAAGAGTAAAGCAAACCAGCCACAACTGAAATTAGCTTAAGAAATTGATTTTAATCCTTGATTTCAGTTTTCAAACTTAAAAGAACTGAAGCTTAATTTTTTTTTAATTCCAAAACCAGTAAGTAGTTTTATTATATAAAGAATTTCGTAATTTAGAGATAAAAAAAAAAGATAACAAGTGTTAAAATTTTAATTTAAAATATATTAAATATTATTTTTTAAAAGTAATTATATAAATTTATTGAATGAAATATCATATTAATCTATAAGTAATTTTTCATTTGCTGAATCTTTATGCCTAATTCCTCACATTTACAGAGCGTGATGGATTCCCTTAAGGCTAACTTTTGTCATGCTCAACAGCTTTTCCAAACTGCACTTTTATTTTTAATTTTTTTTTTTTTTGCCTTGTTAAGATTTTTATCATTTTAGGGAGAAGAGATTCGGCTAGTGTTTCCATCACTGCTCCATTAAAAAAAAAAAAAAACCCAGAGCAGAAATATTGGTCCCTTGGTAATGGCGCAGGCAGCTACGTCTTCCCTGTAATGCTAAGTTATCATGATACCTACAAATTACTATATTCTGGCTTGTCTTCCAAGTTTAATGTTGTGTGACGAAAGAGCATCATCGTCATCCTCTTTCTCTTCTTTATGTCTCTTTTTCTCTTGCTTTAACTCCCTTTTCTCTCTTAAGAATATCTTGAATTTTGAAATTTTCTAAAAGTAAAATATACCCTTTTGTTTTTATAAGCAGATCATTAAATCACTGATCTTAAAAAGAAAAAGATAAAGAAAAAAATTAAAAAAGAAAACATGTTTTTTAGTATAAAGAGATCATAATCTTAAATTAAAAAAAATTATCGAATTTATTAAATAATATTGTTAAAAATAATTATATTAATTAATTAAATTAAGTTTTGATTCAAAATCATGCATGTTTAGAGTCACGCAATTGATTCTTAGTGTTAATATCATACTATGTAATATATATATAAATATACTTATTTTTATTTGATTTTATTAATCATTAATTTTCATGGGGTTATTATAATGGTAAAGATCCTCATTCCAAACTTTGTCTGCCACTAATAATAATCAACTCAATCACAATATCTCATATACACGTGTTTCTTACATTACGTAAATCAATTATTTTATATTTTAGATTTTATTAGATTCTACAATTATTTCTCATAAGAGTGGCTTATAGTCATTAGATTCTTAATTCTACTCATTTTTTAATTATTTATATATATTTTTTATAACTTCGTCTCTTCCTTTTATTTATCATTATTATTATTTTTTTTTTGCAACTTCCAATTTAGGAACCATTCAAGTGGCATGTTGTTTAGGGATATTATTATGTCATTAAACATATCTAACTAACGTTTTAATCACAATTTGCATAATCTTTTAATCTTCTATATATTATCGTTGAGACAAATGCTAAAAGTAATTTTTATCTCCAACAATTAAAATAAATAAAATAAGAGCATTAATATGTGTTTTTTGTGCCCAAAAAAAAAAAAAACCACCTTTCATTCTAGAAAAGTTAAAACTAGTAGGATGTATAACATAAAAGAATTTATATATGATATATATTTATTATATAAATTTTATAAATCATCAATGAATCAAATAATATATTTTATTAATGAGTAAATATTAATTTTTAAAATAAAATGTAAAAATTAATAATTTAAAAAATTTATTCAAAAAATAGTTGATTTATTTTATTAATAAAATAATAATTTTTAAAAAATATATTAATTAATAAATTAAATATAAACTCAACATGAAAAGGACATGACATGTTCATTTATAAATGAACAACTAATACAGTAAATTTTAACATCTTTTCATCAATTAATTATGTTTAATTACCTTTTTTGTTTTCCTAAGTCAAACTCATAGCCAAGAGACTTGAATATGCCTTAACACCTTTCAAAAAAAAAGAAAGAAACAATCACAAGCTTTCAAATATAAGCCAAACCAATTTTTTCAATCATAGTTGCAAGTTGATAAACAAACAAAGATCATGATGAATGATGAATGATGAAATGCATGTGCCCTTATTTTGTGACTAAGAGCTGGGGTTCCATTGATGCCAAGTGGCAATGTGGCATTACTTCTACAAAATTGCCCATTTTGAGATTATCCCATCTTTTTTTTTTTTTATTTGGCACAACGAAAATAGTGAAAAAATTTGCAATCAAACCATGACACTTCCACGCAAACAAGTAATAATTTGACTTTTACCCTTTATCACTAACAAGTTTCGGATAATTGAAACCATACCCAAAGGTTTTTTTTTTTTTTTTTTTTTTTTAATTTTGTAAATCATTTTCAAAAGAAACTGGAAATGTTAAAAAGAGAACAAAACTATGCGCATCAAAAGTATACAAGTATCTTAAAATCTATTTAAATGGATGATTAAATTAATTTTAATAAAATTAAAAAAATAATAAAAATTATTATAATTATAATTAATAAAATTAATAAAAAATTTATATTTAAATTTAATTAATAATAAGATGAGCTCAGTGACACTCTAACACACATATAATGAAACCTAAGCTAAGGCTTAATCATTTGAGTTACTAGCATTTCCAAAAATCCAAAGTAAAGACAAAAAGATGGAGTTTCGAATTGTCATTTCGCTTTCACAAATTTCATTTCCATCGGCCCCAACTCCTTTCCACCTTGACGGGGCCATCCTATCCGTCTTCTACCAACCCCCAAAGTTCTTGGACAAACATTATACTCTCTTCTATATAAATAAATTCAAATAATTTGAGACTAATTTTCTTCTTTTTCTTTTCACAAAATTTATATACCAAATACGTTTGAAAGTTTTTCTTTAATTTTTTTTTGTGTGATTTTCGTGACACCCAGTAAGTAAACCTTATGCTTAATCCATATTTGAGCACTGATTATTTTGACTTAAGAATTTGATTAATCGAGTCTTTATTTATGTAACTTCACTTTAAAAACATAGGATGCTTCATATCACACTCCATCTAGTCCCTTTCTCTTGGGTATTTAATGTTCAATTTTTGTTTACAAAGAAAGCTATAAAACATGAGAACAGGAAAAGAAGCCGTAGTTATTATTTTTTAAAAGTTATTATATGAATTTATTGATTGCATGAATATATTTATAAAAAAAATAAAAATAGAATAATGGGAGTTGTTAAAGTTAGTTGCATATTTCTTTAACGTCTAATTTACTCATATTTATGAATTTAAAAAAATTTATGTAAATTTTATGCTCCATGACAAATTTAGCTATGATTATGTATTTGAGGCTTCCTCTAAACAATACTATGATTTTGTTATTATTTCTTTTGAACTATCTTTTATATTTTCAATCCCTATCTTGGTTGTTAGCAGTACTCTCCAATAAAATGCATGTTCATTGGTCTATTGATGATGATATTTTAGATGAAGCTATTAAAAATATGTGGACTAACTTATTGCTAAGCTCAATTTAAAGCAAATTATTCTTTAATTGTTTTTGTTAGAAATCAATGTTGATTTGACCACACCACTAAATCTTGATGGAAAATTTTCCTTGAACCTTTTCCAAAAACAATGCATATAGTATATATTTTCTCTTAATTATCAAGATCAAAGTATTTTAAAAATTAAATTCAATATATGTAGTCTAGATTGTTTTTTTTTTTTTTTTTTTTTGACCTTTTTGATAGACAAGAGCCAGACTAGAGCCAGACTAGAGAGGCAGTTATTGATGGTTGGTTTAGTAATTTTTGTATTTATATAATATAAAATATTGATAATTTATATTTTTATATTATATTTTATACAAAAATTATATATCATAATTTATATTGATATAAAAATATATTTTTTTGTTTTATTAAATTTATTTATAATTTTTGTAAAAATTTTAAATTATATTATTTTTATATTATATCATGAATTATATTATATTTTAAATTATCAAATTTAATTGGTGACCAGTGAATTATGAAAATGATGGTAAAGATAAGGCCAATTTGCCACTTAACCTTAGGTGGTGCAGCTAATCTAATCGACGGGTCGTTGTTGTTTATGTCTACCAATCAAAGAAAATAAAAAAAAAATTATTAAGACTAACTGAATAAGATTTCTTAGCTCTAATATTAAAATGGTGGGGCCTAGAGCTAATGTTGACTGAAGGTTTAATGTTTGAAATTTATTCCGTAATAATACCTTTTTGTTTATTATAAATGTTTAATTTAGAATTCAAAGTTTAATTCAATAAATTCATTTAATTATTTAAAAAACGATATCTAATAAATTTGATAATTCAAATTTTAATGCTTATAATATTTTTTTTTACTCTCAAGTTACAATTTCATTTGTAAAAATAAAATAAAAAAATTTAAGATTTGAAACAATCTAATTTTTATATTATAAAAACAAGCATTTAAGTTACAATATCACCAGAAAGCTAGGTAAAAAAACGCTATAATTCAATAAAAATAAAAAGGGTTGGGGGGATAAAGAACCTTAAGCCATCTAATGTGCATAGAAATTTGTCATTGAATCATATTTACAATGTTCATTTTAGATAAAATCAGGGAAATGAAAGCTCCCCTGTTATCTTGAACAGGGTGACTTTGGTATGGATGAACGTTGACCTCTCAGTTAGTGAATAGAATTTCAGAGTAGGATTTTTGGGTAGCAAGATTCTAAATCAAACCTGTAAATTCCATTTTTCTTGCACCAGATTGGTTTGGGGATCCAATTTTGAAGAAAATTGGACTTCCTTAGTGACAAATGTACCAAGCATGGGAAGCTTGGAATATTACAGGTAATCATGGAATTGCTCTCTCTTGATCTCCAATTCTTTCTAGCAGTATTCCCAAAGGCAAGGCTCCTCATACCCAAACCCATTTTCAACAGGATCATCAGTTGCAGCCAACTGCCATGAAAATGAGCTCCAGAACTCATCAACCTGATGATTCATGTCCACCAAGAGATCTGGAAGGTCAATGAATGCATCATCATTATTGATTGAAGGTGAGCTTGACGAGTCATGAGATATCACTGTGCTTGCTGAAGACTGAGGAACCATTTCATCAACCTGGCTCACCTCTGCTTCAACTTCATGGCTTTTCATGTAGCTTAAGGCAGCTGCTTTAGCAGCAGCAGCTTGGATATCCTTGGGTGATGCACTAACTGGACGGGGAAGCTCATGAGCAATCTCAGGGAAATTGAGATAAGCTGACTTGCCTTTAATGGTAAGAGCTGCTACATCATGTGCTCGAGCTGCCATTTCAGCTGTAGGAAATGTGCCTAGCCAAATTCTTGACTTTTTCCTCGGTTCCCGGATTTCAGATACCCATTTACCCCATTGACGCATTCTCACTCCCCTATACGTTTGATGTTTCCCCTCAACTTCACCATTTTTAACCATTCTCTTGCTTTCATTTGCATCTTTCACTTCCTGAATTCTCTTGGACTTAAATCCCATCGACTCGTTCACCGGAGGGGATGATGAAGGGGAAGAAGCAGAGGATTGAGTCTCAAACTCTGCATCCATGGTGCATATTCTTTTGGAGTAGTATGCTAAGGGCATTGCTTGCAGTAGAAGAAGCTGAGCCAGCTAGCTTCTTATAATTCCTTCACACGTTAGAAAAAGTGAATTCAAGGCAATGGGGCCTAAGGCAAAAAAAGATGCCCAATTTGGTTCTTTTGTTACCCCAAGTTGATTTTGAATCAACGCAAAAACTTTTGTAAATTCAAGCCATGCATATCACATGAAAGCTGGGTTATGTCCATTTAATCTCCTTAGATTTTATAAATTCACTGCTTATTTCACCTTTCCTTTTTTTTTTTAACTGTTTTTGGATTTTATCTCTTTTGAATTATTATATAATAAAAAGTAGATTTTTTCTTGCTTTTGTCTCTTTAGCCATTCTATACGTTCAACTTTTGAAGGTGATTGGGCAAACATTCTCAATCTTGCTTTCACTTTCACTTCGTCTTTTACTGATCTCAAGTAAATCAAACATCTAGAAGAGAATATAAATCTTTTTCTACAAGTTCATAATTTCATGGGATGTATTGAGTTCAAAGATGGCTTTCCAGCCAATTTACTGATGGAATTTGTCTGTATATTTTTGGTTAACTTGTACATTTGGTTGTACATTTAAGTTCTTTTTCCCCTCCTTTAAGTACAGTTCATCAAGCTAGATGTATAGGGACTCAAAATCAAGCCAATGAAACAAAAATAGCTTATCAAAGTCCAATCAAATGGCAATAAGTATGAAGGACGATTGACATTTGATATTCACAAATGTTTTGATTATATCTTTAACAGTTGTTCCAATGTTTAAAAAATTATATATCAAGTGACACTTAATTATTAGATGGATCAAGACTAATCCTAATCAAAGTTGGCTTAAATTTTATTTAAATGGACAGTGAAAGTGATTTTTATCGCATCAAAATTTTTATTTTTTAATTGGACATTGAACTCATGGAAGTTTAAAGGCAAAACAATGATTTTGATATGATGATAATATCGTCGGTCCAAATAAAATTTATTAAAAAAATTTGTCGTGATTAATGAATGAACATTAGATAATAGCATTAACAAAACAAGAGCTAGCCTCCAAATTTCGACCAATTAAGGGATTCAAGCAAACTTCATTAAAATCCCTAAATTAAATTATACTTTTTGGTAAATATGAGGAAAGTTCGAGGATAAAAGGTGAATTCAAATGTTGAATGGTTATAATTTTTTTTTTGGCCAATGAATGTTTATAATAATAATGTTTTAAAAGGGGGCAGATTTAAAAGAAAAACACCAAAATATGTATGACAAAAGCTTAAATCGGTATTAATTTTAAATTATTTAATTACTAATATGATTTTATCTTTTGTTACATTTTTCTAATAATTAAAATTAAGTTTAACAATGTTAAAAACAAAATTAAAAAATGTGAATAAATAAAAGTGATGACCAAAACTAATAGTAAAAGTAGGAATGTCAATCTTATTCATACCTAATAGAGAATTTGATTTTTTACTTCATAAGGATGAAGATGGGAATTATATTATAAATATGAAGATACGAATATGTATGATTTTAAATTTTTATTGGGTATAAGGATGGAGACGGGTATTATAATACATGTCCTTTACATATACCTTATATATATTTATATATTTAGTGAAAAAAATTATTAAATAATATAAGTTATTATTTTAGATTAATTAAAATTAATAAATTTTTATTGAAAAAATATATATTAATATATATTTATAAAAAATTACTTAAATATACAATATAAAAATTAAAAAAAGCTAAAAAATAAATTTTATTTTTTATTTTTTTCAAAAGTGATGGGTAGTAAGATTATCCATACCCATTAAATACTCACAGAAATGATGATGGAGATAAATTTAAAATATCAATTGGGTATAGATACGAAAATGAATATATTATAAAAATCCGATGATGGAGATGAAAAATAATCTACTTTTTTTATACCCTATCATTTGACATCCCTAAGTAAAAATGGTTTTTTTTTCTAATCATAGAAGTTTTATGTATTATAGGAGACGATTATATGGTAAGAAATCTGTCAATGAGTGTTTTAACCTTTTTAAGGAAAATTTTTAATTATGTTGATTTATTAATTATTTGTATTTTTTTTCTGGTGATTGATTTATTAATTTTAAGTTTTTGTTTGTATTAATGTCATGGTTTTCCGAACATATTATTAAATATTTTCACATAAACATTGTTACAAACAAAATTTATGACTTCTTGATATTTAAATGTATAAGATATCAAAGAAAACTGTGAAAAAATAAGGCTAACAAATTTTTTTTAAAAAAAGGCCCTTAAACTAATCTAATTTGTTTTACATAAGCCTTTATATTTTTATTATATTCAAATAAATCCTTCTCTGTTCATTGGCATCAAAATAATTTGAAATGATAGATCAATTTATGTTAAGAATTTATTTAAGTACAAATTAAAAATTAATAACTTATTTTGATGTAAAATAAAGAATAAAAATCTATTTTAATACAATAAAAAATACAACAATTTATTTAAATAAAATTATAAAATTCAGTCGACTTTTTTTATTATTTTAATTAAAAAAAAAAGTGGTTAAATTTTTTTAATTGCAATAGATATGGGGTCTTATAGTTATTCAAACCTACTTCTCAGCTTGCAAATATTAAAACTTAAAAGGTACGTTCAATATTTAAAGATGCATGCATCTCATTAGAATAAAATTTTCCTTCCAAAAAAAGAAAACTAATCAATTTTCAAGACTTTAATCATAATGTGAACGACAAGTCTAAGGTAAAGTCTTAATAAATTTGAAGTGCTGAAATTGTCATCTGATCTTCCTTAAAATATGTAAAGAGTTCCTAAAAAAAAATAAAAAATTAAAGACTCATTTTGATTGGATTATATGTAGTTTTTAGGCAAGAATTAGCTCTCAATTAATAATTTTTTAATGGATTAGGTGGAGTGAAAGGTCCAGCTTATTATTAATTTTTGTTATCCATGAAATCGTCCAAATACACAGAGTTTCCCTTCTTTTTTTTTTTTTTTTTAATTGAAGAGCAGAGAAAATTACCTCATCTTCAAAGTAAAGGCATACTGTCAATCTATAAGAAAATTTATAGATTTTTTTAATTATTTTCTTATAACTTTTTAAATTTACAAATTACCTACTAATAGTAAACCATGAAAATTTGAATATGAATGTTTTGCATTTAAATCTAAACTTTAATCACTTATGTCAATCTCTATTCACCCTTTTATTCTTTTTGTTTCTAAGGTTTTCTCTACTTTCTACCGTCCAAGAACAAGTTTAAAACATGAGACATTTAAATTAGAAGCATAAATCTTAGTCGATATAACATGTTCTTGTTTTTCACTCTTGCATCTAAATTTATTATTATTATTATTATTATTATTCATAGATCGTCCAGAAATGGAAGGTGTGGGTGGAAGTGAAATGCAAGTATATATAAGTTAGGTATGGGTTGATTTGTGAGGATGCATATCTTCTATATTTAAACAGCCCCATCAAGAGTTATAGGGTTTGGGATAACTCGAGCGGGCTAAGTTAGCCTGGGATAATGATATCTACTTGATGGGAAATATAACTGAAACTAATTATATGGATTCCATTTAACCTTTTTAGCTTTTTGTTTTTAATCTTTTTTAATTAAGGATTGAAATTGAGATCCCAATTTGAAAATTTCAATCTTGGAATCGATTCTAATATTATTAAACTAACGTCTCATCGTATTTTCTAACTTTCATGCATTCAGCGGTTCATTTTCTCTTCCACTTGCCATGCATGTCCAATGCCTTCTTATCTATTTGTCAACATCATGAAAATCGCATCCAATTTTTTGTCGTTTATGATCAAATATATATATATTATAAAACATTTCCTTAACTTGTTAGCAGCCAGCAGCCTTGTTAACTTCTGCACGTTTTCATTTTAAGAGCTTGCAACAACACCTATCAGCACTGCACACAGAAGACCAAGTGCGTTGACGCTTGGGGTCTTTTCTTACAGTTGAATGGTTTTCGCAGTTCCTCCAATTATTTTTTCCTTTGATGAAAAAAAAAAGGGCAAAGAAAAAGATTGAATGGTTTGTATTAATGGATAGACATGCTTGAAGAATATGCTTATGAGCCCCAAATATTTTATCATTCCACAAGAGAGATGAGTAAAATATTTAAATTTAATCTTCTATATTGGGGAGATATTAACCTGTTTGAGATTAACATTTTTTTCTATTGACAATATTAATGTTTGCCTACTCACAGACTGTTGGCATAAATTTGAGAATGATGGATGATTTTACAAGAAATTTCATGCAGCAGCAAAAGCAGATTTTAGCCATGATTTTACTTTCCGCCTTCCACTGTAAAACTTACATTATCGAAGGCGAAGTTCAGCCAAAATTTTAATTTGACTACTTACCTTCTTTTTTGAAAAGCAAGTTGGTTAAATTTTTTATTTATTGCATGCATGGTATAAGGCAGCAAAAACGAAATTGCACTCTTACGTCTGGATGTTCATTGCCAGCTGGTTTTATTTTTTTTTTGCTTACCAGTTTTAACTCTCTGCTCTCCTGCTGTCATGTGATCTTTGAATGGAAATTCGACATTTCCCTTGTTTTTCCAACCGTAGATACCAAGGCTAATTGAATGAAACTGAACATTCATCGAACTAAGATGTTTGCTGGGTGATACTACCTGGTTTGAAGTTTAGAGTCAAAACCTATGATGCGTAATTATTATCGAAAGACTTTGACAATAGATCTATGCTTACAGTGATGAGTTCAATTAGCCTTCGTATTATTCCTTCGTATTATTGGCAGTTGGCAGCTGGCAGCTAAATGGTGATGCAAATGTCGACTATGACCAGGAATTTAGCTGTGGTGGTTTGTCCATTCAAAAACAGGTATAAAGTACTGTGGCAACTTCTTGAACCCCCTGAAAAAATAACCATGAACTCGGAAAGTAATGTTAAGACACTGTTGCGAAGTTGATTTGCGAAATTAGGGTTTTTCAATTAATGTAACCCTTTTTTTTTTTTTTTGTTGAAGAAAATGATTTGGGTCTTTAACAAACTAGGCCTGGAACGCCAGGGGCACCTTGCTTGCTTTGTTCCTTCTCCAAGAGGCCATTGTTGATGGGATTGCCTCGTCGCTTCTCCAAAAGACATAGTCCAGCGAGGGCATCCTCTGTTTCGCTTGCTCCTGCTTGGAGAGGCCTAGACAATCAAGGGCCGCCCTTGGGCTCATCACCAGATTCACAGGGTTCCAGGTAACTGCAATAATCACCCAGTCAACAAGGAAAGACAATGGGCAGAAAGGAAGCTGGGTTTCCTGAGGGTCAAAAAATGATGAAAATGATCTGCAGATTCTGGTAAATCACTGATCTGATGTAACAATATCGCTATTTTTTGCTTTATGAAATAGCAAAGTTAGGCCCATGGGCGGCCTCAGGAAACAAACTTTGCTGAACATTGCCGAAAACATATGGGGAGGTTGATGAATTTCAGGGACATTTTACCCAGGGGCTTCGCAGAAATTGGATGCATAATTGACAAACATATGCATTATGTGTCATTCTCATCTGGAAAAAATATTGTCTCAAATAAATCATGTTAAATAGTTTCTTCGATCTAAAAACACAAATGACAGGTTTGATTATCGTAGGTAAAAACAACGAAAAGAGTCTATTTTCAATTAAAAGTTAGGAATCTATTGATAAAGAAGGATAGAACACAACTTTGTCACAGTTGGATTATTGCTGGAATTTATATACCTTGATCATGCTACACCTATAAGTAAAACACCCGCAAAAAAGATAAGCTCAAAATTGGTCAAATGGCCAGAAAATTTCAACTAGATATTCTGGAATTCTTTTTCTTTCAAAATTTTTTATGTAAGAACCATCAAACAAAATTTTACTTACAAAAATTCGGGAATTCTATCACGTCCTGTTCACATGGAAAACGATGATACTTTTGCAAGCTCTGGAGACTAGATGTGACATGCTAGCTAGCATGCTCAGGTCAGTAGCATCATCTGATTCAGTTGGTGGCGCAGCATTAGGTTGTTTTAACTTCAAGCATCGCAATACCTAGTTGAAGAGAGCTTCGATGGTATTGTCATCGTAGGAATGGATCATTCGAATCAACTCAAGAGTAACCTATTTCTTCTAGCATGACCCAGCAAGCCATTGCTGGCTTAAACCTGTCCGGACTTTTTACCCAATGTTGAGCCCGCCATTCTATTGAGAGGGACTCTTTCCAGAGAGTAGAAAAGCAAGAAGCCTAAAAGAGTCCTATTCCAGGCATGTTCCTGCCGTTGAGAGTTAAACAAGATAACTAGAAAAGTTGATCAGGAAATTAAAACTTATGCGGTGGGATTTTGGCGACGAATTATTCACAATCCAGCCGGTGGCGGAGTGCACTGGTTTGTTTTCACCTTTAAATGAACTAGTTTGCATTACAAAAACAAAACCAAACCATAAGAAAGAAGTATCATGAAACTTAGTCATTCTAGTCGTTGGAAGTTACTTTTGAATACATATAAAACACATAAATACATAATGACCGATGTAAGCAATAATACTTACTATACTTAATTTTTATCCCACTAGATGGGAATTGAAGATCTTCTGCCCCGACTTTAAGTCCACAGATAACAACATATCAGCCATGAGATAAGGGATGACAGATAGCTGCCAAGACCAGTGAACCTGAAATTCCACTTTCAGGTGGTTAATATCTGGGCCGGGCACTTTATTCATTCCTAACCTAAAATACAGTTCAAATATTGAACCAACTGCGTCATACTTAATTGCTTCTTTTAGAGTCTTGCATTACGTATATGTTGTTTCAAAATTGGCCGAATGTACTCATGGTAACCATCTGGCACAACGGTTTCATTTAAAGGATCCTTCCATGCTTCATCATAGAGTTTTTGATATACATTTCCATCATAGCAGCCAAGAATTGAGCCAAGGTAGTGATCAGTGTAGTTGAATGCATCAACCAGGGCAATAACACTTGGACGGACCTAAGATTAAAGGAGATCAGAACCAGTGGACACCAGTAGCCTTCCAAGCTGAGCACTGTATTAACTAAATCGAATTAATGAAACAAACCTGGGAATACAATAATCTGAGTTGTTCGTTTGCTAGTGCGCCTTGCTTGGGGCTAATGGAGCCAGTGGAGATGAAATCACCGAGATGTTTGTGTAAAAGATACAAAGCATATATATTACAGAGTGTCTCCAACTGTCGTTTCACTCCCTTTCCTGGTATGTCTTGTTGCAGTTTCTCAATGAACCTGAAAAAGAAGTTCTTAGAAAACTTTTGAGAAAACAAAAGAAGCAGCCAAGAATAAGTGGATCCCATGTATCGAAGTTCAACTTTTGCAGCCAATTCCTTAAAAATTGCCCCTGAAAATTAGGGATTAGAGTTTGGCTCCTTCCACCCACAAAATAAATCATTTCATAGGACCTTATGCAGAGCACCACAATAAGAAACCTCATTAAATATTAATTTCGTGCCCCCAACATTCTGAGTTAATAAGACTGGAGAGGCTTACTTGGAAACAATAATCAACTGACAATGAGCAACTGCAGCCTCAACTAAATCAGCTGAGAGTTCAGCAAAACCTGAAGAAAAACAAAAAGAATGTGGGAGAACATTAAACTTGTGGACTTCAACAACTTTAACACAGAGAGGCTACTGCACAACCTTTGCCTTATAGTATTGAACCTATTGTTCACGATATATCATAACAAAATGATGTTTATTAAAACTCAACCAAAATTTTTAAATTATATGACTCAGAGTATGCCAAATTTTATGGTAAGAATTGCAAGCATGACCATCTACTAGTCGAGCATGCAACAGTTATCTTGGTTGAAGAACATGACAAGAAAAATAACTGACAAAAGAGAATGCTTATTGCTCAATCAAGGTAGAAAGAATATACCCTCTTCTGGATTTGAAAATTTGCTAAGGCTTTTAGCACAGGCGACAGACATCCTAGCGGCCCTTGCTTCAAATGCCTCCAATATTACACTAGGCTTTAGCCAATCCTCAGCTGCAAGCCAACAGAAGGAATGAAATAATTATATTGTTATTTACCCAAACCGATATTAATTTGTCAACTAGTATGAACTGATGTATGATTAGCAACTTGAAGACTAGTCTATAGATTAAGGACCAGCCAACTCACTCAGACATATTGGGCAAACCCTAATTAATGTTTGTAAAAATGACAGTTTTCAATCTTCCAGAATGTGAAAATTCAAAAAGCAAATATAAGTTTGAAACAGGCTCAAGAGAGTAAAAAAAAAAATAAAACAGATACCCCTTTGAACTTCACAATTGCATTGCGTGAGGTGTTCTACTCGTCCCATGTAGGCTGTTGTCCCAACAGGGTTCTTCCCAGATCCCAGCTGGGAAACGGTCTTCATTAGAAACCTTGCAACCTACAGAAATGTTTCAGCTTACATTGTCAATGAATGGCACCCCATCATCATTAAAAACACATCTAAGGATTTTAGATTGGTTCTCTATTTTCAATTGTGATACTTCTTTCATGTTCTTTACTATTAGATTCATCCAATTATCATAAGATACCAAGAAACACCAGAAATACTAGCTAATAAGATATTGAAGTAAAAGATTCTCAAAACAGATAGCAAGACATATTACTCAGATTAAGTCTCCATTAGAACATTGGAATTCATTCCTGACCATCTAAAAGAACAAATGAAGATGATGAAAGGTGTTGATAACAAAAGTTACAATATTTCACATTTGACATACCTGTAAAAGCAGCACAATATTGTCTCCTTCATAAGTACAGGCGGGGATATAAACTGCAAATAACTCAGGTAGCCCACTGCTAGAAAGATAACCATGACCACCGCATAGTTTTCGGCATTCTTCAATCGCATCCTGCAAACATAGTTATTTTAGTCAAGCTAAAAGCATACAAAAAAAAAAAAACTAAAATGTTATTATTTTGTAATGAACGTCAATTTTTAAAAGCTAGGAAAGACCATTTATGCCATCAAAATGGTGATAGAGGCACTTTTATACAAAATAACTGGCCAACCAAAATATATTAAGCTACACTAATATTTGACAGAGTAGAAAAATAATCAATACATTTATGTGAAGGAATAGTGAAGATTAGCAATAGTGACATACTGCAGTTGCAGAAGTAGTAACAGATTTTAACCCTGCAGTACATGCATGAGCCTCAGGTAATGTGGAGAAATCATTGGCTTCCAATCTTTGGGTCACATCAGCGTATAACCATTTCAGCCATTCACCAACAAATTTGAAAGCATAGGCAGAAGCAAGCAAAGGAAAGAGTCTACTTTGCTGAGTTTTATAGTTAATCACCTGAAACAAAATAAATAAATTTAAAAGCATTACATGCATCAGCCTATACGAAATGTAAAATTGGTTCTGAAACTTCAGCAGGGGTAACTCAGATACTTTTCAACACAATTATTTGAAAGTTTCTACGGGAAAGAAAAAGCCATTAGAATTTAGAAGTGATCATAAAAGGTAGCTGTATACAACAATCTGTACTTGATATAGCATGTATATGTGCATAAGATCCAAAAAACAATAGTACCTGGGTCTCGGGACCACCATTCTGTGAACCAAATTGTCTACGAACAGCACTATACCTTGTTGCAATACAAACTGCCCTCGATAAAGCACGAGAAGCATCAGATACAATTGTTTGTCGGACATAGACCATAGTACCATAAACCAACTGGCGAGGAACATCAGATTGCATATATTTCCCTTCTCTTGTAACCTGAGAAACACTGAGAGAGGAAACAAACAAAAAAAGTAAACTTCAGAACAGTCAGCTTGTTTATCCAGGAAAATCACATTATAGGAGTGACATTTCAGCTCAGGTTATCACTTTTTGGCTCCCTTTTGGGTAGTTTTCTTCTATTGAGGAAAGAAATTTTATAAATTTTAGATTTCTGAGCAGAGTCTAAAACTTCTTTAGTGTTAAGTGAAGTAGCAGAAAATTTCCCAGCTTTGCCACTTCACTCAAGACCACTGCTCATTACGAGAATCATCCAAGAAAGACTTATTCAAAAGATATTTCCCACCATGCAATTTCCTCCACAAGATTGAATGGCTATATTAAATTCCCTCCACAAGATGGGCCGACCAGAAAAACATCAAATGACAGATGAAATATTAGCCTTCAGAAAAAGAAGCAGACAAGAGTGACAAAGACATAGAGAGGCTTGATTAGAGAACAAACCGCATTAGCATTTGGTTCCTTGGAATGCGCACATGATCAAATCTCAGAACACCATTGTCCATGCTGTTATATGCTCCACTTCCAAATTTCATTCCTACATCACCAACCGTTATGCCTGGAAGAGGTGAGTGATCATCCAAACTACGCAGCTGGACAATAAAACCTGGAAAAAGGGAATTTATGAATTAATATCTTAAATAACAGCTACATAAGTAAGTTTATACACTTGGCACTTACCATGCACTCCATGGTCTTGTCCATCTATTATAAGACGAGCATAAACCACAGCATGTGTGGATACTTTACCCAATCCACCAGGCCACCACTATTAGTAACAAAAACCACATTAGATAATGCTAAGTCAAGAAAATACAAGGAGATCAATATAAGAACACAACATATCACGAAGAACAAAAAGTACCTATAAGGAAACTACACATTGCAAATGAGAAAAAAGAGGAGAGAGGATTATACTTGAGGATGTATCAGACTAAAATCCATTGAGAATGACCATTGAAGCACCACTCATGATATATAGCTTAGTATGTATAATTAATCAATGCCAAAGAATGAATTAGTCAAAGAGTGTTAACCATTTTACTCACTTTGCTTGAAGTCAATGTGGGACTATGAATAACAAATTCATCAGTCTGAGGATCAAATTTTGCAGTAGTCTCAAGCCCTTGGACATTGGAGCCATGACCGAGTTCAGTTTGTGCATAGCATCCAATTATTTGCATCTTATATGCCATTGGCAGCCATTTTTGCTGCTGCTCCTCAGTTCCTTGCCCTTTAATAGCAGGTATAAACATTCCCTATCAAGAAATATACATTAGTAGGTTAAAACTAGGTTTGAATGATGAAGCATTTAAAGCCCAGAAATCAGCACAAAGAGATAATCATTTTATATTAAATTTGGTAAACTAGATTTGAATGATGAAGTTAACCAAGGTATGTTGCATTTTCCAAACACATTGATTAGCATAAAAGTGCAATATGCAGTACTTCCAAAGGTTAGAAATAGGAAAAGAAAAATAGAACTTACCCAGTGAAGATCAGTGTAAGCAGGCTGATCCACATAAAACCTTAATGTTTTGGCCTCTTCTTCTGTCATAGAAGATTTTAATATTAATCAGATATCTAAGGGAAAAATCAATTTAGAAAAAGAGAGACCCAGCTGAAAACAAACCAGAAAGACGAAGCTCAATTATCCGCTTCCATGCATGAGCAGCTTTTCTCAAAGTATCTTTAAACAAGTCCTTCCTACTTAGCATAGTTCTGTTATCCTTTCGAAAGACCTAGAGAAAATAGAAACAAGATTACTTAAATATGGAAGAATTGACATTAAAATGCCAAAATGAAAAGTGACTCTACTCTTTTAGGTCAGTGAAGGAGGGAAAAATTAGGAATATTGAATATCAGGACAGAAACTAAAAAAGAAAATAACAAGAAGTTCAATGGCAGAGAGCCAGTCCACCAGTTGAAAAGAACTCCGTAAATCATATCTTTGCTTTAGTTCACTTTTCAATTATGCTAACTCCTTGGAACTACCAAGCATCAGAAATCAACAATAAAAGTCTAAGCAGAACTGAAGGTAAATTATCAAATTTCCTCCATATTTCTTCTCCCTAGAATTTAACTTAAGACCTTACTCTTATATTCTTCAACACAGCTCAAGAGTTAATAGTCAAATGGCAAACAGAAACAAGAGAACCTCAAATTAAGATACAGATGAAAGTTATCCTAAGTCCAAGGATCAAAACAAGAAATCATTATTCTTTGTCCGTAGCTAAGCAGCTTAAGAACATCAAATTTCACGTTGTTTCAACATCCTGAATGATGATGCACATTTAACAGACAGAAATAGAATACTGAATTTAAGACATCAAACAAAAAATTGGATTTCTTCCTACATTTTTGTGAGAAACCAACAGTAAAACACATGTTGTTATAAGAGATTATTTTAAACAATATCTTTTCAAACCAATTAACAACAAGACGCCAAAATCCAAACTTTAGCTCCGTTCTTTTCCCACATGTTCTCGGGAACCAAACAATAAGAAACACCAAACAGAAAATTGGATTTCCTCCTACATTTTCGTGAGAAACAAACAGTAAAACACATGTTGATATAAGAGATTATTGTAAACAATATCTTTTCAAACCAATTAACAACAAGACCCCAAATTCCAAACTTTAGCTTCGTTCTTTTCCCACATGTTCTCGGGAACCAAACATAAAGAAACAACAAACAGAAAATTGGATTTCTTCCTACATTTTCGTGAGAAACAAACAGTAAAACAAATGTTATTACAAGGGATTATTTTAAACAATAGCTTTTCAAACTAATTAACAACAAGACGCCAAAGCCCAAACATTGGCTTCATTCTTTTCGGACATGTTCTCGGGAACCAAACAGAAAGTAAATTAGGTCAGAAATTAAACGAATCACTGGCAAAGAATAGTGAACCAATAATATATTTCTAGCATTAGAATTTCTGTCGAAATTAGAATTAGAAGTCCAGTACCTTACTATAATTTCCTCGAAACCAAACACAGAGGAAACCAAAAGATATTAATCTAAAGAAAACAAAAGAAAAATAAACGGATCATGCAACAATAAAAGCCCAGTAATTTAAAAAATAATAATAATAAATTCTTAAAACATAAAGCTTTGCTTTCATAAACCTTTCACCGACATATTTTAGGTAACAAGAAATCAAAGGAAAAAAAAAACATAAGAGAAACACTAAATCACCGGATCACTAGCGACGAGACGAGAAACTCGATCGGAGATTTCATACGCGTGACGAGAACCAGCCCAAACGATCTTCATCTCCTCCACATCGAACTCCGCCTTTCGCCTCTCCTCCGCGAGGTAATCCACTGCCTCCATTTTTTCTCGATTCGAGTCAAAAAAAAAAAAAAACAGAGAATTTGTATTTTTATTTTGGTTACGGACAAAAAAAGATGAAACAAAGAAACTGATCAAAAGCGCAAGAAAAATAGGAATAGATGAATTGGATATAAATACAGAAATATATAGAAATAAAAATCCTTCGCCTTTTTTTGGCTCGATATTACTTAATAAGATTATAGGAGTAGATATGGCTGAAATAATGTTGACGTTGCACATTTATCCTTGTCAGACATCTTTTTTTTATTTTCTTTTTTTTTTTTACTGACTTAAAAAAATTAAAAGGTAATCTATTCACACGTGAAAGTCAAAATTTTAATTAAAGAAAAGTATAATTTTTGACTAAATCTAAAAGCTGTTACTAAATTTAATAATTTTGACTAAGTCAAATTTTTAATTACAATTCCATTTTTTATAATGTATAAACCCTGAAATTTTATATAGTAAATTTATTTATTTATTTATTCCTTACTTTATTATACCTTTGCTGACATATTTAATGACCCAATTATTGGCTAGTTAGAATATTTCCATCTTTGTTTTCTTGGGATAAACATGTTATTCACCTGCTGTTTAAATAATAATAATAATAATAATAGTATCCTATATACATTGGTTAGGTGGTGAAATAACAAAATTTTTATTTAAATAAAAGTTAAAAGAAAAAAATTAAAAAAAATTAGGATGAATTGAAAACATGAAAGAGAAAAAAATGTAAATAACTTAAGTAGAGCAGATTACGATTATTTAGGAAGAAGAAAAAATAAACAAAAAAATTTTAATTTAAAATATATAAATTAAAATCTTATTTTGAAAAAAAAAATTAATATACTCTTGCTATTATATAAGTTTTTTTTTTTTTTATCAATTCACTCATTAAATTAATTTCCCGTTAACTTGTGATAACCAACTTATTAATTGCACCCAAATTTTGATAAATAAATGTAATGCCCAACCTAACCACCTCAACTGCCAATATTTCTATCGTAATTAGATTGAACAAAGGTCAGAGGAACAATTTACGAATACCCAAAATAACAAATGTAGTCAATTGTATGGAAGAGGAGAAAAAAATGGTCCACGAACACGACTCCAACACTATTTTAGTGAAAGGGCTTTAGCTTTTAAGTCAAGATTGGTAATTGTTTTCCAGGACTTCTTGTCCTTGAAAACACCAGCGATTGTTGACTGACATTTAGACGAGTTTCTATGTCAAATAAGAAATTTATACGTATAATAATTTTTTAATTATGTAAATATTAAAATATAAAGTTCAAGTTCAAGAATAAATTAAAGGTTAAAAAGAAAATACTGAGTTGTTATCAAGCCACTTGTGAATCTGCCGGCCAGTTTTTGCCCCGTAAACCTACGGCTTGTTTAGCTTAATAATTTAAAATATAATACTATAAAATAACATAAATTTAATATAAAAAATAAATATAAAAATAATATGAATTAAAATTTTAATAATAATTATATATAATTTTAATAAAATTAAATATATATTTTATATTTTTATATCGAACATAAATTTTAATATATAATTTTTATATAAAATATAATATAAATACAAAAATTTATATAAAATACCCAAACCCAGAAATTTCATAGACATGTGACAAAGGGACAACGAATGATAATGGATGGTTCATTTTAGGTGGGAGTGGGGGAAGCACAATTATGGGTTGTCTTGAAACCGATTCTATCCAAAGAATGAGAAGCATGGGCAGAGCAGGACTACAGTCCCTTAGGTATGAAAATGAACTAAATAAATGGGGAAGTTAGCCGCTGTACCATATATATAAAACATAATGGATCATCCATCTTCCAATTCATATTTCATCAATTTCATGTTAACGATTATAACCATTTTTGCTTTTGGCACTAATGAAAGTTTTCTTTTGACAAATAACAACCTTGACTAGCTTCAATGCTCTGTGCAGCAGTGGGTGAAACCCAAATTCTTCCGAGACCCGGTGCTCATTGAACAAAAGCTCCGTAAGTGGCAATATGGCATATCAGTTGGATCATCTAGAAATATAAGAAACGAGCTTGATCGCAGAATAGTCCTTGTGTCTGTCTGACTGAAACACTTTGTTAAGCAGTGGAGATCAAAAGCACGAATATAGACATGCCTCTCAAGAACTGAACCGGTGAAATTCTATCAAGTAGGTTATAAATGAGTATATGTCACAATGCACTCTGAGTTCGGCTGGAACATAAACCAAATTTTCTCATAACCCCAATACTCTCTGCTATTGTTGAACCAGCAGTCCCAACAAAACCAAGTGAAGCACAACTACAAACTGTTTCCTCTATATATAGGAGTACATCAGGTAATTTATCAGGAGAGCAATGCTTCTCCAGCTTGGCCACTCCATTCATGCTTGCAGGAGCAGATTCAAACCTCAGGCCATGTCTTGCAAGAGAAAGTTTCTTTGCCGTATTCGTCACCAATAGATCTTCTTCTCTCAGAAAATACAGCTTAAAATTCACTGAATCGCTAGCCAAATCACCCAAGTAAATATCAGTCCAATTACCTTGAGGGAGATCAGTCACCACAAAAATATGTATTGGTCGAGAACCTGCCTGTCTTAATGAATCTAATTTTTGTTTTAAACCCAAAAAAGTAGCTTTCCAGTGGTTCTTGAACTGCCCATCTAGCAGCCTAAGCTGTGCACAGAGAAAAGGAGCCTTTATGGTCTGAGCAGCAAACTGCTTTCCTGAGTTTATAATTTCAGGGACAAATGGAAGGAATTCAATCTTTTTAATTAAAGATTTTATCCTTGGATCTCCTGTTGCTTTTTGGATATCAATATAGAGCTCTGTACCTTTATATGAGGCTGTGAAAAGGCTTCCAAATGCCAGAACAGTGGCTGATGCAGCTTCACTACCAGGCCCAAGAGCCTTACATACATCTCTACGTCTTCTAACAAACGAAAATTTCTTTTTCTTCTTGAGTTGTTCATCAGGTTGGAATGAATCTAGTGCCCCATCCACTTCATCATTTTGATACGTCCAAACTGTTGTTCTACAATCTTCATCTACAGCAAACAAACATCTATCTATATTACCATCAATCCCAGATAGCAGAGAGCCACATTGCTTAAGGCTATCAACCAGAGACAATCGTGCATTCAATTCACTGGAGCAAGCCAAATCAATGTTCAAACCACACCACAATGACACAAAAACCCTGAAATCTATGGCCCGAACAAGTGAAGAGGACAGTAGTGAATGAATATCAATGATATCAGCCATGGAGACATACCTGCAACGAGAGGTAGAATGTATAACTGAAACATAACCTAGATGCTCCATGGAGTTAAAGCAATACTGAATTTGTTTAGTGACTGAAACTTCTTGCATTTAATCAGCAGCAGCATTGCCAAAAAGAACCTAAAATTTGTTTTCTTGAAATAACCTGAAATAATTTAGTGACTTACTTGTTCAATATTCATTAGAAATGAGAGGGAAATTAAAGGCCTATGTTCAGAAGTTTACAATTACAACGAAATTTTAACTTGAGAAAAACTATTTCTTTATGCTCAAAGTGACATGACAAGAACATGATAGAAAAAATAAATACAAAGATGATGTGATTTAAAGTTTTAATAATAACTATACATAGATTTAACAAAACAAGTAAAATATATTTTATATTTTTGTGTCGATAGTGACATGCAATTTTCTTATAAAATATGGCATAATACACGAATGTACCAAAAAAAAAATATAGAGACAAGATTCGAACGTACATCATTTTCTCTTGAAGTAAAGGATTTTTTTTTTTTATCAGCAATCAAATTTAACACATGTTGCCACCACAATGTAGAAGAAAACCAATAAAAGAAAAGCAATCTAAAGGGTAAAAATACTAAATCCCAGAATTCAAACATAGAAAATTCTACAAATTACTAGAGAAATTAATTGAAATGGAAATATAAACAAAGAAAGTGGGCAATACTCGGTTACCTCCCAGTTGTAATGAGCTTAATGACATGATCCCAAACGGAAACCCGGATCTCTTTAGGACTCTGAACCCTAAACTTGGGGCAGCTACCAAGAGCCACGGCATGGTGATCAAGGATCGGAGGGACAATCAAGGTACGGTTCAAAATACTAGCAATTAAAATTGCATTTTTGAACTCAGAAAGCTGGTTGCTAAACCCACTATGAGGCGCATACCACAAGAATTTCTCCCCCTGAATTTGAGTTTTGCAATGTGGGTATTGGAGGGATAGGGCTATGTTTATGGTTTTGGAAGAGGTTGAGAAGACGGATTTGGGAAAGGAAGTGGAAGTGAGGAAGAAGAAAAAGAGGAGAGAAAGGAGAAAGAGTGAGAAGAAAAAGAATGCATATCTGCGCAGTTGTTGCTGCTGTTGGGATTTGTTTCTGCTCCATCGTTTGGGAGAGGCAATGATTCTGTTGAGAATGAACATGTTTTTTTTTGGGTTTTGTAGGCGGTGGCCGATGGGTTTTTCGGCCGTTTTGATGATGTACTGCCTGAACTCTCGGAAATTGCTTGGTTTTTGCCTCTACGGGGTGGGCTTTGATGGGCCTTTAATTGCTACTTGATTGGGTGTGCTATCGATTTTTCAGTCTTGTGGGAATGAAGGGCCCTTCAGGTTTATCGATTTTCATAGTTGGGCTATCGTATATGCAAAACCGTAGGTCAAGTCCCAGAAGCGAGAAGAAAACTGGTAAAACCAGGTTACAGGGGAACTGCATGTGCAACGCCCAAGAGCTTGCCCTTCCATCATAACCAGTCTCCTTATCAACAACTTTGTCGAGAAATAAGACTACGATACCTCTTGTAACACCAGCAGAACTATTATCCATATCCATACTTTGGGTTCTTTCAATGTGTTGTGCATTATATGCAGGCAATTTTGTAGGTGATGTGATTCTTGAGCTGCAGGCGGGAGGGGATGGGAGAAGTAGACGAGGCCTTCCTTTAAAAAACAGAGGGACTGGAGGTAGTCGCAGAGCTCATCCTTCGTATCGAGCGAGAAATGGAAAGATAAGGACTGAGGTTGAAGAGCAAAGGAGAGAGGAAGAGCGTGTATTGGCCATGGAACATAGAGCAGGATGAGGGAACTTGGATTCCTAGTCAATTCCATCTGTGTTCTGATTGCTGAATGCATACTGTTGAGTGAGGAATAGAAGAAGAGTACTCGATTGTTGCACGACTTTGAGCTAGCGCGCAGCATTGCCAATATTAAGCAAATCATGACAAACACAAACGTTAGAAAGATTCAAATAATTGCTAACTAGATGCTACATCCTAAATCTAAGCATCGAATTAAGTTACTAAAAAACAGAAAAACAAACTTATTGAGTTGATCCCACAAAAGAAATATATAACTAAACCCAAACCAGACTGCACATTATTAGTATTCTATTAACAATAACATGTATTGCTCTCAAACCCTGAGCTAACCTAAGACATTAGTTTCAGATAAAGTTGGTCTTAAACCGCATGGATTGGGCTTCCACTTGAGCTCATGCTTGCATTACCAGAAGCATCATTGGCATGGAAAGCAGACTGCCTAGATGAACCATCAAGTTTTAATGAAAGAGAGGATGAGCCACCATCACCAATAGATTCTCCCAAACTCAATTTTGACATGCCCACCAGCTCATCAACATTGATCGGGCTCTTTGAATGTACTGCTTTTGGCTTGACCACTTCATGTGAGTCCTTCTGGGTGGGTTCTGTGTTATAACCCATCCAATATGGAAATGAAAATGGAAAGAATTGCGGGAAGTAAGAATATACTAATGGGTAACAGGGTTGCAAGCCCTCTGACTTTGGAGGAACAGTTTCCCCATCATTCGAGTTATTGGAATCCATTGATTCATCTTCTTCATCCAATGGAGGAGGAACATGCAACTGGTCATTGCTCTGTGTTTCAGCCAGTGGTTGATTTGCAGAGAATAAATCCTGTGATACCATCGGGGTGTCAACCAACTGCAAGAATGTGAAGAAGAAGATCTGTTAAACTAGAAAAGGGGGCAAACGGGATGGATACACAATGTTTACCAGCAACGGATGCAATGCATCCATGAACATAAATCCACTGAAGAGTATCAATATGGAAATTGTAAGTAAATTGGTAAAAACCTATTATCCGTGAAAGAACTAAGCTAGAATACCTACCTACAGACACGCGCACGCACGCGCACGCACGCGCGCACACACACACACACACACCCCAAAAAGAAGTGGATTAAAATACGAACAACCGCAGCTTACCATTTTGATACAAGTACAAAACAAGGTATGGATGCTCAAAATAGTATTCTTTAGACAAAGTAAGTGACCTAATGGTAAATTCCAATGATAAAAAAGCAAAATTTTCACAGGCATGAACATAAATCTCAAGGGTATGTCCATCCTATTCATATCTACACTATTAATTTCTTAATGGTTAAAAGTAGTTAGAGGTTAAAGTAGTCAATCAAGAACTACAGAGTCAAATTTTTTATTAATAGAGGTAAGGCATGAAAATTGAGGTATCATTGTAGAGAGAAGGATATTAACTTCATCTGCTGCAATATCAAAGAGGCTGGAACGTCTTTTTCTCCTAGAAACATTGGACTGCCTGATGAAATATTTCTGAGCATGGCTAGCAACTTGAGTAGGAGTCCTTGATATAACATAATTGCGTGAGATTCCACGCCAATCACCTTTCCCAAGCTTCTGCAGACCAAGTAGAAACATCCTATGCTCCTCTTCCGTCCAAGGAACACCTGCAAAACAAATTATAACTCAATTCAGGAATTGCAGAAAGTACACCCTTGCTTACTACACTATTGCTTAGACAAATCATTGACTAGAAAATCGTCACCTCGCAATTACCATGCCATGTAAATTCTAGCATTATCCAGTGCCTTCTAGACTTCTCATATCCAATGTCTATGATCAATATTTTTGAGGATCATTCAAAACTAGAACCATGTAGACAACCACCAGGCACACAAAAAGAAACTACTGTATTACCTCCAAAACTCAGTGAGATCACATCTAATAATCATTCTTTTGGACAAACTTTAACTCAATAAATTTCACATCATAGCATAAATAATCAAAATTTTATTGGATTAATATCATTAACATCTCGGATCATACACATTCCTGTGCTTGTCTTGTCACATATCTTCACATATTCTACATCATTATTAAAGACAGTAAGCTATCTGATCCATTCAAGGTGTAATTCAACAAAAACCCACCTTGATGCAACCAAAAGAAAGATAACTATAAACTAAAATTCCAAATTACTCAATGAAAATAAAATTAATCCTTAAAAATGAAACCTTTTTTTCTTTCACGACTCGAAGAGGACCCTGGGACAAAATCCTCAGAAGCATAACCGTCGGCGTGATCCGGACCCTCACAGGGCGTACCCGACCCGTTCTCGTAATGCGCGCCAGAATTCAACCCGGAGTATTGGCTTAAGTTACCCATACTGGCGCTCTTCCGAATCGACCCGTCAGTCAACCGGACTCCGAAAAGCTTGACCCCTCGGTTGGGGCAAGTGCGGGAGTTGTGACCGTTGTGGCTGCAATGCGAGCAGCGACGCGCCATTTCTTAAGACCGGGCGGGTTCGTTTTGGATCAGATCAGAAGCTAAGGTAAAGAGATAGATATGAATCAGATCTCTGAGGATCCAGATCCGACGCGCATGTGAGTTAGGGCTTTACTATTGAAAAAAAAAAAACGGTTTTTATTGGGCTCTCCCTCTGGCTGTGTTAGCAGATGGGAGAGAGAGAAGGGAGACAGACAATATCCATGTATCATGTTTTTATTACATAGGAAGGAAATTATCTGGTGCTTCGCGGCGTTTACAGGGAGAGGTTAACATCTTGGATTTGTTGCCGTTGACTTGGTCAAAATTGGTGTGATATAATATGCGTGTGATGTGGGGAGTTGACGTCAACGATCAAACGAGTCCTTCGATTTTTAAAACAAAAATTTAGTCCATATACTTTATTTTTCTTCTTTTCCTTTTAACAATAAATTTAGTTCTACGTTGTTTCTCCATTTTTTTTAAATAAAAATTTATTTAAAATACTATTTGAATTATTAATTAAAAAAATCATCTACATAGAAAATTTTTTGTTTGATTTATTTTTGCCAATAAATATTTATTTTGATCAAAGAACAAGAAAAAAATGAAAAAATTTTTAAAAAATACTGTACAAATTTTAAGAAATATTACCATTTAATGGTGAATAGGAGAGGGAAATCATAATTAAGAAAGATTTGATCTGACACGTGTACGGTAGGGACTTTCTTCGGAAGAAAACGTAATCTTTGGTGTGGATAAAAAGGTTGGCAAGATCTATAACGACTGTAACGTGGGAATCTTGCACTTGCGACGTGTGGCATTTCTGGGTGTAAAATAGCTTTGTCCACGTTATCCAAAGCCACAAACTGGGCAGACATTTTCAATGGCCTCTTTTTTATTTTTAAAGAAAATTTTGTGGACCCCATCAAAACAAAAATCATTATAAGTAATCTTTTTGCGGGTCCATATTGTTAACGGACGGTTCTGATTTTTGGATCGAATTGATCGAGATCCAACGGACAAACTAATTTCATAATTACATATCACTGACAAAATAATAAATGAATGATATTTTTTTTCAATAAAAAAATGAAAATTTTTTTACAATAATAAGCAAGGGTAAAAGAAATTTCACATTATACTCAAAATTTCGTGCAGATGATGATGAAGAATATAAATTACGATTCGGTTAACATATGTTTACTGGTAATTAGTCAAAATATTTTTTTGCTTAATGCACTATTGTTACCAATTCAAAAAAAAAATAATACATTAATTATAAATTTATCTATCAATATTATCTTAATAAATACCACATTTTTAACATCTTTTCGTAAAAAGGGAAAAAAAAAAAGAAATAAAACAAAAGCATGACAAAGCAGTGTCCTATGTCCTTGTCTGCCTGTCTCCAAAGAGATGGGACGTACAAAAATCCTACCACCCGTCGAAAAAGGAGGACATCATTCAATGAATCCATGCGATCATCCACAGAAGTTGTACGGGATGATTCAATTTCAACCACAAACACGGTAAAACGTAGCTGCTGGGTTTTTCTATTTCCATGGTCAAGCACTGAAAATTCTAAAGCAGACTTTGATCAAACCAACGGTTTCAGACCCTTCATGGCAATTCCAAGGAAAATGCAACCCCAATATTTTCCAATGGAAACAAATTCACTGTATAATCATTTATGTATTTGTTTTTCTAACACCCTGACACGTATCTTTAGAGATCAATTGTTTAGATTTAATTCTTTTTTCATATGATCTTGAAAGTATTCTCTTTCAAAATTTTGTTTTCGACATGTTATCTATAAAAAATCGTACTTAGATCGAGTTATCATTCATATTCCATAACTATTAATGTAAGAGAGGGTATAGAACAAGCAATCTTTTTTCTACATGATGTTCATGTACCAATCTTATTCCATAAATTGTCATATTTCTTTCACAAGATGCTTAGAGCACATAGATCAAGCAAACTATAATATAAATATGGTGGCAAAGGGTACATAGAAAAAGCAAACCACAACTGCAAACTCCATCTGATTTGCTTGAAGATAAACTACAATCACTGTGAATCTGTGATTGCTACTGCATCATTATTATTAAGTCCTGCAGCTATGAAGTAATGATATTGTAGTGTATGCAACTTCTTTAGTAGCAGGGAGGTTTGACACAACTAAGTGTGGCTTTCAATCTGGGGAAATAGTTCATGACTTTCAGGAGAAACCAAAATTACATCTCTATAGCGTTCTTGCAGGTAGTGTAAGCTTCGGATAGGTGGAAATCTACATAAAAGAGTAAGAAGATGTTACATCCCATGTTGATGACATACATTTGTAATGAAAAATGGAAACATTCTTTTACTCAGATTAGATATGAAAAAGACTAAGCAAACTTGATTACTCGACTCGTAAATTCAATCATCAAAGCTAAGGTTCAAACCGATCAGTTTTATTTAGCAGTGGATATAAATGTAAAAGTAGAGTGTTCATGCCCAAAATTTGAAGAAAATTTTTCAAAATTTGAAGAAAATTTTTCAAAATTTTCCCCAAAACATATGTTTCTTAATTCCCTAATCACTCTACTCACTATCACTATCCAATATCCAGTCACAGCCCACGGCCAGCCAACAACCAACAAACACTCACTGCAACAAGTGGATACTTCTGACAAAATCCAGAATCCGCCATTGGATTTATTGACAGCTTGTTTTAAATATAAACAAAACCATATACATAGAGCTAGAGTGCTGGTTATATCTATACCTTGGGGGACAAGACTCACTGCAGCAACTTTCCAAGCATTCGACCATGCATTCTTTGCCGGGATTTATAAAAAATGCTACCTGAAATGTTACATTGAAAAAGTTGTCAAGATAGAGAAAGGCCTAATTGAGACCCTGTATACCTGAGGAAACTGATCATGAACATATAGTACCATCTTGATTTCAAGCTTTCATGCAGAAATTAAAAAGAATATTCGACAATTGTTTTTAACATGAACTTTTCATGAATGATACGCAAATGCAATGGTTATTTCAAACCACTTGAGACATTCTGACACAAGAAATGACAAAAAAATAAATAGGAAAAGAGAAATGTTTACAGAGTAGCGTTCTTCTCCTGTTGCCACCACTCTGTGCATTGTTGACCTACAAATAATAGATGGCTCAAATTAGATGGAGATAAACAAAAAGTGCCATTACAAAAAACATTGCACAAACCCTCCAAGATTCAAGATGACAGGCAACTGGATTACCGGAACAAACAATTAGTCCACCTCTCCATCATGTCCCCGATGTTAACGATGGATGCTCTGCTGATTCAGATCCAACGTTCAGATGCTGGATTTGACAAGATACAAATATGGGGTTTATTTCGTGAATTTACTCACCCACTTACGCTTGGCACATCCTCCCAAACCTGTGGTTCCTTGGATTTCTCCCTGCAAAACTGTCAGCACTAAGATGAAAACATGTTGGCGTTGAAATACAACATTTAAGGATTGCATATTATTAAACAAGGAACATGCCTGAAGCCCTGGAACGCCATCAGTCAGCAGAAGAGTGATCATTCCGTAATCCGAATGAGCAGAAGCACCATGTGTTTCTTCCTCAGAAGAGTCCACGGGTTCTAACATCAAAATAAGAGGCCCATTGTAATATTTTTATGGCTCTTCTGAACTTTTCATCATCAGTTTTCTATCTAAAGTTTTGTCCCAAAAAATTTAATTGATAAAAGAAATTGTAAGAGAAAATTTATTTTCTTGAGAGTAAACATTCACTCAATATTTTTATTTTATATTTGAGGTTGCCAAAATTTGAACCATGTTCGTTGAAACTAAGAGTCCAAAAGTTTTATTAAATATTTAGACATATAATGTCAAAAACTCATTAAAAATGAAAAAGAAAAAAGTTATAAGAAAACCCATAAAACCCAGAAACTATATTCACATCAGTAGATGACTTGAAACAAATATAAAGAAGACAATGAATGCCACTATACCTGGATAATGAAACAAGCCCATAAAAGACAGATGTTCATTAAATGCTCCCAATTTTTGAAAGAAATCCTCATCCAAGTTCAAAGCCAGGGCAATTAAAGAAATCAACTTAGTGCCAGCTGACCTGAGGCAGCAAATCTAGAACGTTAGTAAAACTTGCCGAGTCTTTTTTCATACTTCTGCCAGTAGAATAATGTACTAACGTCATATGGGCAGGACTATCTCATATAATTTTCAAAGCAATGTAAATCAGAACTTTAAAACTTACATGAGATTATTGAAATCATTGGTAGGTATCAAAGCTATAAAGTATAAAAGAACAACCCTCTATACTTTAATCATCATTTACCAAATTTTATTACCATCTGCAAACCATAAACGCTAGAATGTAAATCAACAGTAGAAACTCACAGCACTTTTTTATAGTAAGCCTCCATTGCGATTCTCCAAGATGGCAGTTCTTCTGAAATTCCCAAGCCAAAAAAACATTATTTATACAAGATAAAAAGGTGAGAACAAAGAATGAATCAAGAAATTTTGGATAATTATCAAAATGAAGTTCTTATGGTTCACAACTGCAACACATTAGCATCAAATGTAAACATAACAGCCTAATAATCAGAATGCACTCATAACTTTAAATACCTTCAAAAGGCCATTGATTCAGGTGATTTTCTGTTAATGGACCGACAATGAAGCTTTCCTTAGAGTCACCTGTTTACAATGAGTCAAAAGCAATCAATTGTTACCTCAAATTTCAATCTCTATTGGACTTAATTATATTAAACCAGTGCAAAAGAAAACAAACAGACTTCTTGTATATGCCATAATAGATTCTGCTTGATGGGTAGATCCAATTGATGTATTACATGATCCCTGTGATATAATAAAAAAATTTGAAGATTTAAAAGCAATGAAAATCTTGATTATAACAATCAAAGTTCACTTTTGGTTTGTCTATTCCTAGTCCCTAGTACTCACAGGCTCATTGCAATAAGTGCAGAAATGCCGACTTAAAAAGGAAGCAGATTACGACCCAGTGTAAAATACCTTTGTATTTTAAAAAAGGAAATGATAAAATCAAAACACCTTTGGCACTTGAAGAAGTATCAAATTTCTCTGCATACGACCCTCTGTAACCGCTGTGCTTCTTGACAGCCAATTTCATCTTCCCTTCTAGTGGGAGCAAGAAAAACTTCTTGCTAAGCTCAAAAACTTCATTACGCAATTCTTCCTCCACCCCATGATTCACAAGATAAAAGAAACCATGATCCAAACATGCCTGAGATACAATTTCCAAATTTACGCATTGAACCTTCACGATCACTCAAAAACATAACCTTTAAAGGAGAAAGATTCATAACAATAAACAATTCAACATAAAGTCATGTCAATGAACGTTGTTGTGAATGCTAAAAAACTCAAAGACGATATTTAAAGTGACATTACTAGCAGACTATTCTTGCAACAAAAAATAAATCAAGCAAATTGGTCCATTCACAGCAATGGACAGCTTAAAAACAGTAAGATTTACGGGTTTTTATCCTGTTTAGCATAAAAAAAATTGCCACCAATGAATGCAGTACGTTTAATCATACAAGAAGAAAGAACCAAAAGATTGAACATCAATATTAACATTCAAACATATAAACCTGACGGATAGAGTTGGCGGTGGAGAGGCGATCGGTTGAAGACAAGTCAATGATCGGAAGTTGAAGAGCTTGAGACATTTTTGTTGGTATATGCTGCAACTTTAGTTTGCTGAGTAGTGAGTTTTGAACCTGTTCCCTATTACTTACATACAGTCATTCGTGAGTCTGGTGGCGAGTTTGGTAAACTCAGAGACATTTTGGACCAACTTTTTTCGTTTAAAGTTTACAAAATTTGAGGAAAGCCATGCAGGAAATAGATGTACATCATGTTTAAGTGTCCTAAAATTCAGATTGTCCGAATCACAAAAACCAAGTGCTATAACATTATTTGAATCAAAATTTTAAGTACTTGTAAAGCCTACAGAAAATGAAGAAGCCAGAGTATCCTTCATGGAGTATCAATATGATCTTGTCTCAGATGGAAAATGGAGTTCATGCCCCTTTTGGGACGCAACTCTTATATGGTTTTTTTTTACAAAAATGGGTTTAGGAGCGTTTGGATGTTGGCCTATGCATGGGTGCATTTGAAAAACACATATTTCGGCAAGGTTTGACAGAATTACATACCGTTTAATGAACTTTTGTTTTAAAGCAATGGTGTCAATTGATGTGAGCACCTGTCTTAATTCTTTGTCGTTCCCTTACATGTATGTTTTTTCAGATTCTACCATGTAATGTCCCTTATTTTTATATGATAAGTGATGCCATCATTCATTAATACTTATCATAAGTCGTCAGGATTCTTTTGTATTGGTTATAGAGCATGTTATTTGGCTTATCATGTTTATTTTGTGGTAAAGTTCATAGCTAATTTGGCAAGTTTCAATTGCATTTCTTTCTTAAATGCCGTTGGTAACTTTCTCTCCCCTCCTCCTTTCCTAGTTATTGACTTAGTAACACTAAAATACCTATTAATAAACTGCTAGCTATAACAATTGTGAGGACTACAAGAGAAACATTCATTTTTATCCGATGGAGAGTTTAATTAGGTAAAAATAAATATTTAATGATTCGAAATAAAATATTTAAGATTTTATTAATTATAATAAAACATCAAAAATATAAATGATTATTAAATTTTTATTTGAATTTTTTTTCCTTTAACTAAAAAAAATTGGTCAACTAAATGCAAACATTTTAAATTTATAAAAAAATTGATAGATTAACATAATCCGATTGACTGATGCCCTTGATACTAATAAAGCATTATATTATAGTCATTACTTTCATATTATTTTGTTAGAGAGTTCAAATATTAATAATTTGTTACATTCATTTACTCAATTATCATAATTAATTTTTTCTAACGCTTAAATAATACACGTTTAATTGTCATATCATTTTTTTTTAAGAATTAATTCGTATTTTATCAAAGAAAGATTCACTTAATGTCCCGTTAAAGCATAATTTTAAAAGTAAGCATTAAATTTTTAAATTTTACGTAAATTTTTTTTTAATTATCAATTATTTTAGTCTAATTCATCATTTTTTATGTCATATATAAGATAAATAAGAGGATCAAATACGTAAAAACTTAAAGACTCAAAAGGATTCTTTCCATTTAAGCTTCTTATACACACTTTACCTCGTTATCTTCAAACTCTAAAATATTTCATTGACTTGAGTGTCGATGCACATCCATAAAACCAATTCCAACATCTTTTGACCTTGCTCTGTGACTATAAATTCAGGTCATTGCACCTTCAATCCTTTGCCAATTTTTTCCAGTTAAGACATCACAAAAATACCATTAACATGGTTGATCAAGCTTCCAAAAAATATTTAAATTTATTAATTTCAATTATTTTTTTCTATTTTTCTTGAAGACATAACTTTACAATAAACCTTTCGAAATCGCATGCGGGAAGGGATTTTCCATTGTAAGAATGTCATCTTAACACAAAAAAATTGTAAATTGAGCTATTAAAAATTAAAATTTTGATAATATAAGTAATAATTTAAGAAATTAGAAATTTGAGTTGAATGAATGAATTCATAAAAGAAAAAATCATATACTTTTGCTTTTGTTTCTAAAGTACTCTTTTCGACTTTTTTTTCTATTTTTTAAAAAATATCTTTAAATTATTTTTTATTTTTATTAATATTTTAAAAAATTATATTTTATATTTTTTATATTAAAAATCATAAAATTTTAAATTTTAATATTAAATATTACATATTTTAAAATTACTTTTTTTTTTAATTTTAATCTTTCCGTCTCATATTATTTGTTACATACTAATTTTTCAGAAATTTTAAAAAATTTTGATTTTAATATATTTAATATTAAAATTAAAATTTTATGATTTTTAATATTAAAAAGTAAAACAAATCATAAAAATAATTTTAAAATATAAATAATAAAAATATTAAATATTAAAAGAAATAAGACATAATTTTATAAGATACCATTAAAAAAATAAAAAAAAAAGCGATAAAAAGAGTTTAAAATTTAATAATTCTCAAATGATTCGAGACGGAAGTCGGTAGATTTATATAAATAAGAATGTGACCATACTTATCGTCAGTCATTTCGATTAAGCTTATGTCATTTCACATGGTAGCCATTGGTTGCTGGTTTTGTTCGAAATGGTGGTACTGTCAAGTCTACATCGTGGGCCAGAATATGCACATGTTAGCCACTTCCCAAGAGTTCGGCCTTTGAGTTCTTGGAAGCCCATCAGGTAATATTATTAATTATTGCATTGCAAGTTTTGACTACATTATCAATTTTGTAAAATTCATCAAAATTAAAACAATCTCTTAAAGATTGCCATTCTAACACCTGTCTAATATTTAAAATTTATTTTATCCTTAATTAATAATAATTTATATTATTATTTATTAAAATTTACCCTATTTTTTATGATTTGAAATTTTAAAAAATAACAAAAACAATTTTTAAATAATCATTAAAAAATTCACAACCGCCCTAAAAGAAAAAAAAACAAATCTAAAGATCTCTGGAAGAAGTTGACAAGATTCCCAAGAAATAAGATTCAGTGAAAAAGAACCAGCATGTGAAATTATATTAAGAGTGAGTGAGCATAGCTTGAAGGACAGAAAATAGTTCTTTGCTGTCATTCCCAAATTTCAACAAGCACTGTGATTCCATACATGACAATGGACCACAATGTACAATTTAAAAAAAAAAATTTCATTCATTCATTCTGGGTGAAAATGAAAGAACCTAATAGGGACAGAATTAGTGGTCAAACATAATCATAATACCAATCAGTTTGAGCTTTAACAGCAACAGTAAAAGCTACTGCATTGTAACAAAGATAATGCAATATTCCATGTCTTACAGTAGAGGTACAGCTTATGTCAAAGCTTGGGCATGCAGGTTAGAATAGAAATCCATTTAGTATTATACTGCAAAAGTCACTTTCCTAAGCAAGCTGGAAACGCACATACCAATATATATACCATAGTATACTTTAATGGCGATAGCATACAAATCATTAGACTAATCAATTTAATTAGGAGGCGTTGAGTGGCAGAGAAGTTACAGGTGCGAATGGTATTGGCAAAAGTTTATACAATTAATCTGAAATTTCTTTCGGCCAATAATATGTATGTTGCCTTGACAGCAGCAAAAAGGGGCATTTAGAGTCAACAAGCTTTGTAACAATAGATACAGCAATTACCAGTAAAGCCTCATCTGTGTGATCATCCAGAAGACAGAAAGTGAATGATTCAAGTAATGAATGCCTGCTTATACCAAAGGAGGCTGCAAAGTCATCCACGATATGTCTCCATTCTTCGTTAGGCCTAATCTAATGCCAATCAAACAGGTAATATAGAAACTGCATCTCGGTGAAGAAAATCAAAGAATTTGCAGAACTGAAAACATGTTCAATCAACAGAATAACCATAAATGAATATCACGTCAAAAAGAGAAGGATACAATTGCTTACTTTGCAACCACCAACTCGGAACTACCACGTAGAAAGAGGAATGTCCACAGCAGCTTGAAGACTTTCAAATGGATAAAATCCTGTCATTCCCTCTATTATAGACTGAAAAAGGGCAAGGCTCCGTTCTTCTGCAAAAATGCAAAATTTGACTCTTCTCCCATCTCCTGGTCATATGCCAGCTCCATGTCAAGATTTGCTAGAGCATCTTCAATGAAAAGAGAACCATCCTGTCTGGTGGAGTCGGCTGAGTCATCTACTGCTTCAGGCCATGCACGCATGGTTGCAGCTAATTGCCTTTCACGGACAAGATTACGCCAGGATGTGAAATTAGCATGACAAGACTTCACACGTTCCAAGAATCGGTGCCTTATACACCATATCATGATCAAAACGATGCTGACAATTTAGAACAAATATTGCCAGAAATTATTGATTATTGTGTGATTGGAAAAACGTGTATCAGCTATAAAGTCTACTCAGACACCTGTTCTTCATTTGTCCAGTGAAATGCTAAAATGAGTACTTTTATGAAACTGATGATACAATAATGTATAGTATTCAAAGACAAAAGGTGCACAGAGCAACATTGCCACCAGAAGCCACCAGAAGCTCAGATAAGGGCAACGATCAAATTAAAGTGATTAATTTCTCACAAATTCCAAACAACATATGTTTTTATTCTCTATTTAGTTGGTTTTCTAGATTGCAGGTTCCAAAACTTTGCGATAAACATATTGCTCTTAAAAGATGCTAAAATATAGTAAAACATTTGCTTAATCGAACCAAACCTGCTTGTCTTCAATAAACTCTCTAGAAGGTAGTGCAAGTTATGGAGTTGTGCCAAAAGACGACCCTTGAAAGACGACTCCAAAACTTCAAGTATGCTGGATAAGCCGGCCAGATGTATTGAAAACTTTAGAAGCCAACTTAACTTATTTTTCATCTCTTCTACCTCAACATAACCTGATAAAAACAATTAGGGAACACACAACACACATGGTATAGACAAAATACCAAAATAACATAGCTCTCAAAACATTTCACAAAATTTTAAAGGATCTATATCCCTTGAAGTTGTGTTGTGATGTTTTTAAATGTCCGCTTGACCCAATCCTTGAAAACCTTCTCATCCAGCAACAAAGCAGTGACAGCATCACTGGAAACAGCAGTTTCATCCATACATATATCAGTAACATCTGTTATTTTTCTGTTAAAGGAAACATGAATTTCCAACAAACAACCAAGGCAGCTGTATTTGGGGAGTATTATAAAAATGTAAACAAATCAATATGCCCTAAAAGTTTAAAACTTAACCAATAAAACAACAAAAGGACACTTAAAACTTGACCAAAAAACCAAAGAAACCAAGTTATTCTCCAAGGCTACATCAAAAAAAGAATAAAGCCGTTGAACATCAGCAGCAGTCAGTGAATTATCTCTATTTCTTTATCTTGAAATCTCTCATCCCATCTTCTGGAAATGAGGCCAGCATCTATGCACTCATCATAAGGCGAAGGCAAATTCTATTATTACCACTTTTTGTCAATGGGATCCCACAAATTGGACAAAGATCAGATCTTTGACTACATTCTGCACATAACGAGGCATGCCCACACGAGTTCAATGCATACCGTACATAAGGTCCACAGCTTCTTAAGTCTCTGGTTGCTCTACAGTAGTCAACTTTCGACTCATTGAATAACTCAATAAGATCATACTTGCCAAGTGTTCCAAAGCTCCCTGAAATTCAAATTAGAACCTACTAAAATTTCCTATAATATAAATCTCAGACAAGCTATACATAACAATCTACAAATTCAACTCAATCAAGCAAATGTGAACTTAATTGCTTAATATAGCAACATTATAAAGCAGCAAAAAATTTTAAAAATAATTGAAAAAAGTTGAACCCTAAGAAGCATAGAAAGCTAGGGTTTTTGCAGTTGGCAGTTAGGGAAGGGTACCTGAAGGCTAGGTTACTGAAATTGGGAGGCGGAGTTGGTGATCTAACGGTGCGACCGTTACTTGCGGCGCTTGAAAGGAAAATCGGACCGTTGGTTCCGGGTTTCTCCATGATGTTTCCAGTTTTATTGAATTAGAGATGGAAATGCCAATTTTGTGTTTCCGCAATCAGCGGATGAGAAAAATGGGTTGGGTCGGGTCGGGTCGGTCATGTAGTCCAAGCTCAGTAAATATATAAAAGGTAAAAACGTCATAACGAAAAATAAACCCCGGGTGATCCCACTTTTGTGTAAGTGACGTGACCTATGCAGCAAGGGAAATTCCTTCAACAAACGTAGTTGATAGTTTCTTCCCCTTCGGCTGCTTTCCTTTGCTCTGCCGCTTTCTCCTCCGCGCTCTCTCTCTGTCTCTCTCAATTTGGTAGCTTTAAAGAAGTGTCATCGTTTATGTATAATTGTTGTTTTTGTTGGTTTTCTTTTTATTGTTTTGATGGCAACTGCACCAATAAAGTCACAGCCTTTACACAACTTCAACTTCTCGTTTCTGAAATGGGGGACCCACGGAGGTGGTAGTTCTTCAACCACCACCGACCACCGCAGTTCTCCTGAATCTGATTCGGACCACGGACGTCTCCGTCCGACGCGTGTTGGGTCACGCTCCACCCGCATTCACCGCTTGTTCTTTCCTTCCCCGCCAAAACCCTTCAAACAAAGACACCGCGAAGAAGAAGGAGAACAAGAAGAAGAGGATCCGTTAAGGCCGCGAAAATATGAAGCTGAAGAAGAAGAGGATGAGACGGTGCAGAGACCGTGGAATTTGAGGCCAAGGAAGGTGGTGGTGGAGACGACGGCGGTAGTGACGTCGGTAGTGGAGAAGTTTACTGAAACTGCGGCGCCGAAGTCGATGAGATTAAGGGGTTTGGCTGAAACTGGAGGGGTTGGAGAAAAGAAAGAAAAAAATAAGTTTTGGATAGCTTTGTCAAGGGAAGAGATTGAAGAAGACATCTTTGTGATGACAGGATCAAGGCCCGCAAGAAGGCCCCAGAAAAGGTCAAAGAACATTCAGAAACAGCTTGATGTAAGAGCAAATCTTTCTGGGTTTTGTTTTTGATTTTCTGACAAACATTTAATCTGTTTCTTTTTTTGGGTGTCTAGAATGTTTTTCCTGGGTTATGGTTAGTTGGTACAACAGCTGATGCTTATCGTGTCGCTGATGCTCCTGTTAAGGTTCTTGTGCTTTATCTAAATATCCATGTAAACTTGTTTCTTTTAAGGATTTTTTAGCTGATAACTGAAATTTTCTTAATTTTTCTGCAGAAATAGATCTGCTTTTAGATGCTTGACAGATTACCAGATATAAAGGTTGTCTCTAAATTTCCTACTTTTGTGTGTTTTAAACTTTTAGTGTTGTTTTTACTTTTTTGGGGAGTTTTTCTCTGCAGCTGAAATAGTTTGTTAATGGTGTTTGCAGGGGATGTTTATGGTGTCAGTGAAGTAGGAAATTCGGGAAGCTCTGTAGGGTATGGGCCATATGGTACAGACCTCAATTTTTTTAGGTATATGAAAATATGATGTTTGTAAAGAAAAAAGAAAAGTATGAAAAAGATATTTAATTTCTTTAATGTTTTTATTTTGTGTTGTGCAAAGGAAACAGTAGGGATAAAGTTTTAGTGGGTTTAGAAATTGATGGTAGTCTTTTAAGACGTCAAATATGAACAGAAATATGTGTGAAATAGTGAGAATATCTTTCAAGGCTTTTCATTTCAATATGCTGAATGGTATTCTGATTCTGGGATTTGTTTTTTTTTAGCTTTGTAAATTTTCTAATCTGTTGATTGCTTATAATGTTTGACAGGCTTCCCTACATCGGTGGGGGGCAGAGTTTCAAGCTGTGTAGTTAATTTGCAATCCCTAATCCGATACTTGATTTATTATCGAAGGTACTTCGTTCTTCATCTGGAAGAGCTCTTCCTCTATCCATTTAAGCTTCATCAAGAGGAGCACCTGATAAGGTTTAAAATTGGTTGAATGCATTTTTTACTCTTGTTTTGATCACTTGATATAATATATTTGTAGCTGTATTCACTAAATTATCTGTTACAAAATTTAAGATCTTAGCATAGGGAATTTGTTTTAAAAAAAAAAAAAAATTGCTGTCTATGCATTTTTATTTTGCAAAATTTCATAGCAGTTCACAAGAATAATTCTGTATCTCACTTAACAATTTGCATGGCCAGAGTTTGAAGACTTTGTCAGCTTGTGCTTCATATGTAGGATCTTTTAGGTGCTTGTAAGACAATAACATCCCTGGTAATAATAATTGAGACTTGGGTTTTGTTACTCACTCAGTTCTCAATTGTCTGCCTTGAAAGTTAGAGTATGTAGGATTTCAAAACTTTTTATGGCAACTAGTTGGTACTTAATTTCTCAGGCACTTGTTTCAAATTAAGACTGTAGGAAGCTTATTATTATTATTATTATTATTATTATCCCTTTTTCTGAGTGCTTTTTTTTTTTTTGTTAATCTTGTATTCCTGGTTTATATCAGTTATCTTTCTTCTTATTGGTATTGAGCAGGTTTTTCTTTTCCCTCTTCTATAAATAATCAAATGGGATAACTTGGAACTGAGGATTTAATGTGACCTCCCCCCCTTCCCAAAAAAGAAAAAAGAATTTGTCTGATGAACCACTATTAAAAATGCCAATTTTACGTTTAGCAGGCTCGTTTTTTCTTGAAAATGCAGTTTTCGAAAGGTTTTGCTGCTTAACTGCTTGCTGAAGCATCGAGTAGTTTGTGCCTAACATGAGTGGGATTAGATTTTCCTAATCCATTAACATTCACCAGCCATTGTAAGATTTTAGTACCTTTTCTGTCTCTTAGTTTTGGCTCTGAATTGTTCTGTCAAACTTTTCTAGCCAAAGCAATGTAACTCTGTCATATACTTTTGCTTATTTTCCTTCAACTCTTTTTTATTGTGATTTCGTTACTAGAAACCTTTATTTGGCATATTATACTTAAATAAATTACAAGCTCAGTCTTTACTTGTTACCACAAATGTTATGAGTTACAAGGTCATGAAATGAACTCTCTTGTAAAAGACACTGCCTCTCATTTCTCAAACTTGGTAATAACAATAAACATGGTTCGAAACTGGTGCAAAACTGTCGTTGTGAAGATGCCTATCGGCCTTAAGTTTGAGCTGTCCAGAGCATGTTTCTGAAACTCCAAACTTGGGCTCTTCTTCTACGATTGAGCTCGTCCAAAAATCCTCGGTGCCCTACATATGATACATACGACTTCATCATAATTACTACTGTAATAATTCATGGTTATAAATATAGTTTTTAACATTAAATTACTAATATGCAAGCTTACAATTTTAGTTATAAAAGTATGCTAGGTATATTATAAAAGTGTGGATAACTTATAATTATAATTATTTTAGTCAAAAATACTATGTTATGTTATATAAAGGTTGAAAAAAGGGGTAAGATTTTAGGATTTAACACTTCCATTTCCTGACTTCACGAACAAAAATGCTACTATAACTATAACTAGATTATAATTCGTGTGGTGTATGAAATAATTTTATTTATTTAATATAAATATATATGTATACAAATTATTTTTTTAAATGATATTCAAATTTTTAAAACTCATAACATATATAAAATTTATATATCTTAACCTATCATTAAAAAATAAATTTTCTGAAAATAGCAAGTTATGTTTTTTTTTTTAATATTTTTGTTTACAATAATATTTATACATCTATAAGATTATTTCAAATAAAAATAAATTTTACATTTATTAAAAAAATAAAAATATATATTATTGAATGATAAATTAAATAATAAAAGAAGTATTAACATACTTTCACTTTAGTAATCTTGACTAAATTATTATATAAAATATGAAAAGTGTTAGAAAATATGTGAAAAAAGAAAAAATAAATTAAAAAAATATTTTTTTTCATAAGAATGAAACTATAATATTAAAAAAATACATCTTGAACAAAAGTCATAAAAAAAAAAAAAAAACAAATTGCAATAGTAATAGAATATACCTTGAAAAAAAGTTACTAAAAAAATAAAAAAAATTTAATGTATAACACGTTACATTTGTAGTCTTAAAAGTGTAAGAGAATTCTTTAGTAGCAATTAAGATTAGATAGATAATTTTTAAATTAATTTTTAAATTTTAAAATGGATATAATAAGTGATAAAGATAATATTAAATTTTTTTGCATTTATTTGAAATATAAATTTGATAATTATAGTTCAAATAAATATAATCATTTTGATAATCTTATTATGTAAAGATTTAAGATGAAATTTTTTTGAATTTTTAAAATCTTATATAAAGTTACTTAAATTTTTAATATTTTAAGTAAAATTTTTAAATAGATAAGTTTTTAAATCAAGATAAAAAAGATTATTGAAAGATTTGGATAAATTTAATCTTTATAATTTTTAAATATGTTTGAAAGATTTTGATAATTAAATAAGGTTATTTGGTAAACAATTAAGATTATTTATTAAAAAAATAAAATAAATATTTCATATTTTTAATTTTAGAAAATATATACTTAAATTGATTTGATTTTCAATTATAATTTGAATAATTTTAATATTTGAATAAATTTAAAATTATCTAATTTATAATTAAAAGAAACTATCTTATTCTTTTAAAAAATTATCTTATGTGTCATTTAAAAGAGTTGTCCATATAAGTACCCATGTGACAAATTTTTTTATATATGTTGTCATATAATATATATATATATATATATATATTAGATTCATATAAATATAAAAAAAAAATGACATAACTATAATTACAAAGGTAAGACAAAATAAGGTTTTTTTTTTTTTTTTACATAAGAGGCAACAACCAAGATGGGGTACAACTAAAGGACCTAATCCTTAAGCTTAAGCTTTAGCTTTGGTTTGTTTATTGAATAAATGGGAGTTCCTTACTTATTGTACACTTTATTATACATATTAAGCCGTCAAAAAGCATATGAATTTCTTCTATAATTGTGCTTTTCAAAACTGATGATACTCAGTGACTGTATATGACGCAAAAAGGGTTGGTAAATTTCACTTTCAGCATCTTCTTTTATAAACTCTGAAGTAAACAAATACAAAAGTCAAAAACTGTATGAGTTGTGTGTAGACAAGAAATGGATATTGTGGTCGAAAAGCTTTTTCATAGTTGGAAATGGTAAAGCCAGAATAATTATAGCATTTGAAATGGTTAAAACTCCTGTTGGTTTGGAACCCAAGTCAATGGCTTCTAATTAAATGTTCAAGATTGGGCCTCGCTTGGGCTTAACTTGAAACGTCGTCGATCCATTGTCATACAACACAAGCTAGGAATCGATTTCAATCTTAAAAAGTTGATTCGTACCTCAAATGGAGGGACAAAAAAAAAACCCCCGAGACGATATTGAAGCCCTAGAAGAAACTTTTAGAAATGGTTTTTCAGCCATCAAATCTCAAACACCTGAAGCATCCAAGGTCGATTTTAGCATAGGGGTTTTTTTTTTTTTGTTAAAAAAAATTTAAGATGAAGGGAGCTTTCTTTAATCTTGAATCGGGGTAAATCACAAGTTTCAACAACTTACATTGAATTTTCAAATTGTCCATTAAAAAAATTCCTAACAGTTGAATTCATGCTTTACCAATTCAATCAACTCTCATAGGCGATTTTGCATAGCTAGAGAGAGAAAAAAAAAAGAAAAAAGCACCTGCATGTGCATTGCAGGGTTTGATTTAAAAAATGTCCTTTTTAAGGTTAATGTCTTTCCATGCACCTGCATACTTCATTTCTCTCTGACATTTTTCTCCAAATATAAGGACTCCAATGCCCCCTCTACGCCGCACGGCAGCTGATCAAGAAAGCTACTAAAAAAAGAAACCGTAGTTGAGCATGTGCTTTCTTTCAAATGGACCTATATCAACTTGAAGGTCCATTGATGTTCGCAAAGATACCAAGATGGCAGCCATAGTTCAAGCTATTTGTCAAATTTGTTTGCAGTACTTTATGTCCTCACTGAAACAATATTTCAACTTCCAAATGTTCTTTAACATATTATTAGAGCCTCTTAAAATAAGGAGCTTTCTGAGTTGTGTTGAAAGTTAGAATTGAGATGTGACTTTGAACAATAAAGCTTCATGCCAGCTTAACACTGTGTTCCCAATGTTTAATACAACGTGTAGACCATGCATGTTCTCCCCCAAATTGAGCTTTCTTATTTTATTCCAATCCGTTCTCACTTAATAAAATATAATATAATAATATAAGATGATACAATATAAAAATAATGTAAAAATATATATTTGATATAAATTAAAATTTAAATAAAAATTATAATATATATTTTTCCATAAAATATCATATAAACATATGAATTATTATTATTATTATATTGAAGCAAATATTATTGTTGCTCCAAATCATCATACACATTATTTTATGAGGCAGGCTTTTGCATGGATGTCTAAAGGAAAATGGGGGAAATTATGAGGCAAACGATACAGTTTTGACCATCGACCGGAGACACAGCAAATGCGAGGTAAACTTTGACCGAAAGTGCACGTGTGAATAAACAAAGTGCTTTGCTGTCTGTGGGTTGCATGTAAAGTCGCGCGCCACGTAGAATCCACATGAGTTGTAATAATAGGTGCGCCACTGGCGGAGTAAACAAAAAGGTCAATACACTGGAACTGTCAAAACTTGTTAAATTACTCATTTATCCTTGTAATAAGGGATAAATTACAATTTAACTTTAATAATAAATTATATCACT